GTAAAAAAAAACTCGAATTGTAGTTGATACAAATTAAAATGTAGGTAAACAATAAACGCCAATATTGCCAAATGATGAACTGATTTTAATACAAAATTAATAAATGAACTGAAATTTAAAAAATCAATATAATAAATCGGTTTAATAAAAAAATCCTTAAATAAATATACAGTATGATTACATATTATTATACACAAATTTTGATTCTTAAATAAAAAATCTTGTCCACTTCTTCAAGAGCTAAAATCCGACGACGTAGCGAAATTTTGCTAGTTTTGGCAACACTGAACGATATCCTACTTATAGGGACCTTCTACAAATTTCCTCCAGAGGGCGTATCACTTAGCTTGAATCGCGAATAACGACCCTTCCAGTTATATCTTCTCAAGGAAATGTAGGATTTGGAGTGGCTTCAAGTTAGGTATAGTGCCTTTGGATTCTGGAGTGCTACACATTCAGTTAGAATGTGAATGAATGTTTATTCCTCCTCCTTACAGAATCTGCAGTCACTAGCTTCTACTACTCTCAGTTTACTAAGGTGTCCTTTTAGTTGGCAATGCCCAAGTGTTATCACTACTAGAAAAATGTATGTTATGATAACAGCTTAAAATACAATCTGGCTTATGTGGAACATCCCGAAATACGGTTTCATAACCGAAACAGGAACCAAATTTCGGCTCCTTTCTTAGTTTCGACCGAAACCGAAACAAAAACAAGAACTTTCTTTTAAGGCAATCTCTTATTGAAATTTGCAATATCTTATTGTAATCCTTGTTTTAGACTAATTAACTCGTATTATAAATTTTAGCTACATTTACTTATTACCTATTTATTTATGTGATCAAAAGAAGCCATTAATAAATTTATTGACATGTTCACTTGAAACAAAGCAGATAAGTTTGTGTGTACGTGCACTGTGTAGGAATGGCACCCGGCACAGTCGCCATTGTGCCGGACACAACCAATTATAAAACGAAAACTTTTAAAAGTAGTTTCGTTGTCGGCTGCAATTTCGGCCAGTTTTCCGCCGAAACCGAAACTGTAGTCGAAACTCTTATTTAAAGCCAAAGTTGGCCGAAACCGTAACCACTCCTTCGGTCATACAAAAGTGGGCAAAAAATTTCTGATAATAATTTAGGCACGTGTGGTATTGGGTAAGAAAGTTTTACACCAAAAAATACAAATTTAAAAACTTTACAGATATGCATTAAAACGACTAAAATCAAATAAAAAAACATATGTTTTATGTGCTGTGGCCATACTGCCATATTTAAAGTCGTTTAGTTGACGCGAAAAACCTAATTATTATTAAAATAAATGTACTGTATTTCTACCTAGTTATAATTTGTATTAAATAAAATATTAACCACTGAAATGGCAAATTTTTTAATCACACTATTGCGTTGCGTCGTAATATTATATGCTGCTCAACTGTCAAAAAAATTTTAAGTATAATTTCGTTCAGGGTACCCACCAAAAGAAACATTTCCGGAAATTTTTCTGGTTGTCATAGAAGCGTTTTAAAATAACAGCATTTGATTGGCTATAAAATAGAGGTGTAAAATTATAATTTAATCTATCACGTGACAAATTTTCAAACCCGGTAAAATAAAAGCAAAAATATTATATTTTTTCGATTTAGAAGATGTTACCAGACTCATTAGCCTATTTCGTAAATCAGCCAGACTTATTATTATTCATAATTGTATCAATTTTATATGCTTAATTTTCTGCCACACTCACTTTCCACTATCTAAGACAATCCAAACTGCTATTTTTATAAGCTTTATGTTCTAGTTTAGTAAATGTAAAATAATTATGACTGGGAAAATAAGTGTCACATGGGCGAAGTTATGTCATCAGATCTGGGGGGGCTAAAGCCCTAGCCCTAGTCATATAATATATAATAGTTCTAGAGGTATACCTACTGAAGTTAAGTAAAAAAATTCTGACGAATCTATGAAAATGGATAAAATATCATATATCGATTTTAAACAAAGTTTTGCAAAATTTCAATATAGTGAATTTGTAGATATCCATTTATGGTAAAAAACTAAATTTTACGACTTGCACTTGGAAAATAATGAATACTTCTGTTTTAATTTCGACATTAACACCATATAGATTGCAATTTGCTGGGGACTTTTTCGCAGATTTGTTTAACATAAACACTATCACATACTATAAGAAATAAACAAATTTAAAGCTAAAAAGTAAGAAAAACTCGAATTGTAATTGATACAAATTAAAATGTAAACAATGAACTCGTTGCCAAATGATGAACTGATTTTAAAACAAAATTAATAAATGAACTGAAATTAAAAAAAAAATTAATATATTAAATCGGTTTTATAAAAAAGTCCTTAAATAAATATAGAGTATGATTACATATTACTATATACAAATTTTGATTCTTAAATAAAAGGTCTTATCCACTTCTTCAAGAGCTAAAATCCGACGACGTAGCGAAATTTTGCTACTTCTGGCAACACTGAACGATATCCTACTTATAGGGACCTTCTACAAATTTCCTCCAGAGGGCGTATCACTTAGCTTCAATCGCGAATAAAGATCCTTCCAATTATATCTTCTCAAGGAAGTGTAGGATTTGGAGTGGCTTCAAGTTAGGTAAATCTCCCTCTTCTATTTGATATGCTCCTAGGTATAGTGCCCTTGGATTCTGAAGTGCTACACATTTAGTTAGAATGTGAATGAAGATTTTTTCTTCCTCCTCACAAAATCTGCACTATCTTCTACTACTCTCAGTTTACTAAGGTGTCATTTTAGTTGGCAATGTCCAGTAAGGATCCCTGTTACAAGTGTTCTCACTACTAGAAAAATGTATATTATGACAACAGCTTAAAATACAATCTGGCTAATGTGGAACACCTTGAAAGCCTTGCCAGACTCGTCTAATGACCGTTAGGCGCGCTAAATTCGGCACGTTCGATTACTATTCCTCTCCTCGTTTAACTACCTGGCTTGTCAGGTCCGACCAAAATACGGTTTTATAACCGATACAGAAACCAAATTTCGGCTCCTTTCTTAGTTTCGGCCGAAACAGAAACAAGAACTTTCTTTTATTGAAATTTGCAATATCTCATTGTAATCCTTGTTTTAGACTAATTAACTCGTATTATAAATTTTAGCTACATTTACTTATTACCTGTTTATTTATGTGATCAAAAGAAGCCATTAATAAATTTATTGACATGTTCACTTGAAACAAAGTAGAGATGTTTGTGTGTACGTGCACTGTGTAGAAATGGCACCCGGCACAGTCGCCATTGTGCCGGACACAACCAATTGTGATACGAAAATTTTTAAAAGTAGTTTCGCTGTCGGCTGCAGTTTCGGCCAGTTTTCCGCCGAAACCGAAACTGTAGTCGGAACTATTATTTAAAGCCAAAGTTGGCCGAAACCGTAACCGAACCTTCGGTCGGACACTACTTGTGAGTCTGGCAGGCCTCCGTAATTGTAATTGTCAGCCAGACGTGTATTTTCACTTACGAATATTTTGAAATTTATCCTAAGTAGATGGATAATGTTCTTAAAATATGCGTGAGTGTGCAAAAATTTACTGATAATAATTTAGGCACGTTTGGTATTGGGTAAGAAAGTTTTACACCAAAATATCCAAATTTCAAAACTTGACAGACATGCATTAAAACGACTAAAATCAAATTTTCAAAGGTAGCCATTCCACAGAATATAAAACATATGTTTTATATGCTGTGGCCATACCATGATCATTTGTCATATTTGAAGTCGTTTAGTTGACGCGAAAAACCTAATTATTATTTTCCATAAAATAAATGTAGTGTATTTCTACCTAGTTATAATTGGTATTAAATAAAATATTAACCACTGAAATGGCAAATTTTTTATATGCATGAAAGAGCTGCTCAACTGTCAAAAAAATTTTCAATATAATTTCGTTCAGGGTACCCACCAAAAGAAAAATTTCCGGAAATTTTTCTGGTTGTCATGAAAGTGTTTTAAAATAACAGCACTTGATTGGCTATAAAATGGAGGTGTAAAATTATAATTTAATCTATCACGTGACAAATTTTCAAACCCGGGAAATTAAAAGCAAAAATAATATATTTTTTCCATTTAGAAGATATTACCAGACTCATTAGCCAATTTCGTAAATCAGCCAGACTTATTATTATAAATAGTTCATGATTGTATCAATTTATATGCTCAATTTTCTGCCACACTCACTTTCCACTATCTGAGATAATCCAAACTGCTATTTTTATAAGCTTTATGTTCTAGTTTAGTAAATGTAAAATAGTTATGACTGGGAAAATAAGTGTCAGACTCAAAAATTTTGTTTTTTGTCACTAAGAGAACAGTTTATTTTTCATATACACCGACTGGAAAAATGAATACGAAAAAAATTCACTGCCTCCTGAACTAAATGTAAAATTGCAGAATCAATCAAATGGCACAATTCTTTTTATTTTTTAATTTCTGTTCTGAAATCTGAAATGTTTGGGTGGATGTGAGATAAATGTTCGAATTATTTTTGGGGGGGCTAATTTGGTTTTTGGGGGGGCTTAGCCCCCCCAAGCCCCCCCTTAACTTCGCCCATGCTTATGACATCAAAAATGTTTACTGAATTTAGTAAAATTATACTGAGAAATAAAAAAATTATAGCAATTAATAATTTTTGAATTTTCAATTTTAACATTCTGTATTTCGGAAACCAGTAATATTTTATCTAAGTATATTTTGTGTAATGATCTTATTTTTTATCGGAGAATCTTCAGTTGTTCTTTGTCCTATTCTTAATAATTGTTAATTGTTAGTTTTACGAAAAAACAGAACCCGCTTAAACAGGAATATAATTTCACTCTTACTGATATGCTTATCGGGAAAAAAATATTTAGACAATTTAACTTAAAATGTTTGTTAAATGTGTGCAAAATTTGGGCATACCGTTCATACCAATAACTTTAATAAAATCCAACCTATCTTTAATGTGTAATCATTTCCGACAAAAGTCATCAAAAGCAAACCTTATTTATCAGTTTCCGTTCATGACTTCATGGTTTTATATTTTTTTTTTACATATAGATGTAGACGAGCGGTCTCAGTGTTGCGAAAATGTCGATTCATACAGTTTCCTATTTTGCAATTTGTTTTCTTGTTTTTGTCAGTGGACAATCTGTAAATCATTGTGCGTCTAGAGAAACCTGCGAGGAATGTATACAAGAAATTGATTGTTCTTGGTGTATCCAACCGGAGTTTGAATCGAATGTAAGTCATTGAAGTTGTTTATTTTTTACTACGGATGGAAAAATAAATGGCTTTCCCATTGGAAAGAGTGTCAGTGGATAGGTTTCGAATAGTAAAGTATTAACTATAGTTTTGTTGAATCTAAAACACCCCCAAGTAACACTAATGCTATTATTGGGGTCGCTTTAAAACAATACAATAAAATTTCGAATAAAACCAAATAATTTTTAAGACAGATCCAAGATCAGTGGCGTAGCCATGGGTGGGGGTTTGGGGGGTCAGAACCCTCCATTCGCGTCACCGTTTCCACTATCTTATTGGCGCTGATAGCTATTAATTGTTTGTTAACCCCCCTTAGTTCTCAGAAACCCCCCATGAAACATTTCTGGCTACGCCACTGTTCAAGATCACCATGAAGCAGCTTCTAGTCAAAAATACTAAATTTTAAAACTATATTAAAACATAGTTTTTCATTTTATATTCTTAAAGAGTTCTTCAAGGCAACTTTAAATATATGTATTAAAACTTTATTAACTGACGTCTTACATTTAAAATACATTTACGGCAGACTAAATTACCTTCAGAATTATTATAACGAATCCTAAAAGAGTTTTAATTTGTTTGCTGAAGTCTAATAACTTTTGTAAGTCTCTATAATGGTAGAGTGGTTATATATAAACGCCAAGCATCCGTATATAAAGCAGATCCTAAAATAATATTCAAATTCAAACTATTCTGGTAAAGAATTTACCAATGGATGGCACTTTTGTGACAAAATATGATAAAACCTTCTACATAAGTCAAGCACCATCAATTTAATGTTTTTTTATTATTTAAAAAATATCGGCAAATTTTATTTTACATCTAAACATCTAAATCAGCTTTAGTCAAAGTGTGCTCCGCGGAGCCCCTGGGCTCCGCATAGTCTTTGTGGGGACTCCGCGCGAAGAAAATACCTATCGCTACAACAGAACGGGAGTTGGATTGAGGACCTACTGTTTGTTTTTTAGGAGTATATGAGGTTTGGTATCTTCGGCTGGAGGACTTTTTTTTTAGAGGTCAAGAAGAGGAAGGAGTATATTGTTTTGGTATTTTCGGTTGTTTTTTTAGGGGCTAAGCAAAGAAACGGAAGGGACCTGGCAAGAGGCTAGAGCAAGGTGGGCTTTTTTTTCCGAAATGTGTTTAGGGCTCCGTCAAATATTTCTCTTTTCAAAAAGGTTCCGTCTCCAAAAAAGTTTGAGAACCACTGATCTAAATGATCTTTTTTATTAAAATGCTTGGACACACTGTTCTTTCCTTATTTAAGAGGATTTAAGGCGCATATATTTCAATAATATTATTTTTTATTCCAATGTGTCATAAAACGTCGTTTTTTGCACAGAAAACAAACGAAAAAATCTTTTTTTCTTATATCACTATCATAAGTAGGCTTTTGCACATTCAACTATAACTGGAAAGTTGACGTTTTCCATGAATTGTCATAGTTTGACATTATTGCCTCATATAGGCGGGAAATTACTTTTTGCACACGCCTATTTTCATTAGAAAGGTCGTTATTATAAAGCTAATCGATATTTTAAAAGAAAATGTAGACTAATCTGAATCTTTTAGTTGAACATTTAATACAAAAACTTATTTAAAATAAAAAATACCTCAACTGTTGTCCCCATTGATATGTAATTTAGCGTGTTTAGTCAAATCAGTTAAAAAAAATTATTAAATCATGTTCGTTTTAAATAATTGTCACCCTGTATATTCTAGGCTCGGGACGCAAGTGGCCTTTTAGAGTTCTATCAGCCATATTATTTCTGCCATATTTTTTAGATCTTTTATAAAAATTTGAGAAATTTCTGTAATTTTATAAATTAGTAGAACTGTACAAATTTATATTGCATATGTTAGAAGTGGCCAATTTTCTGTAAGATCTACTTTTTATCTTAAATGTATGTCGCGATCGATTTGTTGTCATAGGCGTAGTCTAAGGGGAAAGAAAGATTATGAAATGCATACTATGTTTATACACTGTGTTTCAGTATAAGGTGCATTCCAGCTAGGTATGGGTAGATAAGTAAAATATATGTTCAAAATTATTTTTTATTTTTTAATCACTTATTAAGTTTTCAAGATATAGGCTTGTGTGTTACATTTAAAATCAAGGAAGAACAAACTATTTACAAAGTATGTATTCATTTTAAGAACAAAATAGTTGTTAAATGTTTAAGGTTCACACTGACTGATTTTAACGAAAAAAAAAATATATTTTTTTATTTTACAATTTTTTACAAAAGTTAATTCTATTTTTTATTTTACAACTTTTTTTACCAAAGAGTATTTTTATTTTACTATTTTTTTCCAGATTAGGTAGGTAGGTACTTTTATTTTACTGTTGTTTATTTAAAGTTTATTCTGTTATAATCATGTTTATATAAGTTTTTCTAAAACAAAATGTATATATTTTTTAATCAGGAACTAATTTCAAATGAAAACGAACATGAGAGAAATTGTGGAATTATAAAATTTTGTGGGGGAAAAAATTGGATTTTTTTGCGCATATGTGGGAATTTCTGTTAAAATTGGTTGGCAACACTGTGTAACACATGTGCCGAGTTTGAAAATCCACATCCGATGCATTTTTTACATCTCGAGCGTTTGTTGATCCACATCGGACACATCTGTCCCACTACATTTACGTATACTGAATCACGTGATCAAAGATTTACTACATCTCAGATGCATCCGATGTGGATTTTAAAACTCGGCAATGTATTGTGCTGGGAGGACAGAGATCACAGTGGCAGGCTGTCAGAACTCTAGGAATTTATGACCTTGACAAATTGCTAGAATGCATTAAACTATTGGTACACTTAATTTCACATACTGTCATAGTGAGTTCATATTAATTTCCCTAAACTTTTTACTGTACAATTAATCATGTTATTTTTTATTTAGCAACATTGATTAGTTATAATAATCTACGTCAGAATTGACAAAATTACTAGTCGATGAGGTACTTCTGTAATCGTTTTTGACTCATTGTCAAAAATAATTTTTTGTGTACCTATCTAACTAACCGTTTTTCATAAATTTAAACCACATTTATTTCCTTTTACGAATTTTTTATCGGCAAAATGGTAAACGCGGTAATACTATTTTTAATTTTCATAAAATTAACTTACCTAACTTTTACCGCTTTTTACAGGATGCCCCGATTATTGTTATAATAAAAAATATGATAAAGATAATTTCCTGACCGTAGTAGAATTTTGTATAAATAAAAAGCTCCTTGGTTTGTTCGGTCAATAGTTTTTATTTTTTATAATTTAAGAACTACATATGTTTCGGAAAAACATTTTTCAATCTTCTGGTGCATATTAAAAAAAAAAATAGATTTATAACTAAAAAACGCAGAAATAAAAGATTTATCAAACTTTTATTTTAAGCTTATTAACTAATTGTAAGCTTTTCAATCTTTATTTGTAGCGCCACTGATAATTTTTAACTTTATAAAAACTCATCTTTTTATTTCCCTACTGTATATATATCGTGTTAAACCAAATTATTATTTCGAATACACCTTCACACGCTGTAAAACAAAAATAAAAACTATTGACCGAATAAACCAAGGAACTTTTTATTTATACAAAATATGATGTTTTCTACAACTTTCATTAATACCTATTTGTGTATTAAGAGCGAAAAGTGATACTTTGCCGCTTGAGACAAAAAGTTGTCGAAAGCGGCAATGAACTTATCGCTCAAAATGCACCCAAGATTTAGTAACGTGTGGGGGAGAGGATGTTCTCGAATGGTCACTATCCACAGCAAATACGTACATGCTACAAAATTGCATATCCTACCTACTTTACATTTCGAATACAAGTAGTCTCCCTATCCACGCGGGCACGCGCCCGTATAAAATGGCAAAAAAACTTAATTGGTACTAAATCCGTATCTACAGTAATAAAAACAGATATCTGGTCTAAACCCGGTTATGGTGTGTATCACCGTTAACTAATCCATTCTACAAAAGAAAATAAAAAGATATTAAAAAACTAAAAAAACCTGCCATGTAATAGCCAGTCCTTTCAATAAACTTTTAGATTCAATATTTATGATATAACATTTGTCTCTATTTCACAAACCAATGACTTTTGACTATAAGTATTACATACATTTTTGAAATCGTCATTTATTAGGGAATTCAAAAATGAAGAAAAATATGTTATTCTATTTAAAAAAATCGATGACGTCATATACACGAAAGTGGTAGTCATTAGTACATCCAATTGCAGCGTAAGATGCGCAGTTGAAAATAATAATTGAACTGTGAAAGCATTTAGTTAAAATATCGAATTTTATCCAATCTAAAAATGTTCTCACTGTATGTATTGAGTGCAGGTCCGATTTAAGAAAAATTCATTTCATTAAAAATAATGACCTGTTATAGATCTTTAGCAAGACTATTTTTTTAATTTTTTTGTTTAATTTAAAGTGAATTTCTCATTAAAGACGTACATAATTACAATTATGATCTTTTTTTTAGGATACATCCCGTAGCCCCGTTAACTGTCATATGAGTAGCGACAGCTCGAAATGGTGCAAGGATAAAAACTCGCTGGTTTCTCCACAAATGAAATTCGAAGTATTACATGATAAACATTTCTCGAATGATGCAGAAAATCCCACTCAAGTCAGACCTCAACGCGTCAAACTGTCACTAAGAAAGGGACAAAAATATAATCTCAAGTTCAAATTTAAAACCGCCGCAAACTATCCTGTCGATTTGTACTACATTATGGATCTTTCTAAATCTATGGAAGCCTACAAGGATAAATTGGCCGCGCTGGGTATACAATTGGCTGAAACTATGAGAAATATAACTACAAATTTTAGATTGGGGTTCGGCAGTTTTATTGACAAAACAGACTTACCTTTTGTCAGTACTGTACCTTCCAAGTAAAACACTTTTGTATAATAATATGCTTTAATATCCTTAGCATCACTCTCTTCATCCCTATTACTGCAGAATCATATATGATATCATTAAGATTTAAAATAATGTTTATTTTGATACCTAAAGATTATTCCCCGATATTTTTTTTGTAAAGTTGTATTTTTTTACACAGCAAATAGATGGAAATACCTTTTCGTTATCTATAAAATCATAAAACTATTTACATATGTATTTGAAATTTATGCACCCTTTTATTTCAGATTTGACATGAGTTGCATTTTTTTAAAAAATTAACCCAAAGCGCCTACTTTAGTTATTTATTCGCAATAAATTCACGTACTTCTACTTTAATTATTATTATACAGTTTATCCTCATGCATTTATGAAATGAAATGCTTTTTTCCGGGAGAATACCGGAATTCCGGGAGAGTTGGCAACCCTATCTACGAGTATAAGCACAGGAACTATTTTAATTTCTACCGTTTTTATTTCATCTGTAACTCTGACATTTTCGAAGAATTTGTAAATGTAAATATGCAAAAGATTTTCCTGTTCTTTTGATTAGTTAGTTTTTAGAGTGGACAAACCTTAGAGCTGCCAGTCAATCTTGAAATCTGCTTTTTATGCTTCGTACAAACATTATGCTCTTTAAGTGAAGCAATTCTTGATTAAATTTTTTCATTACCTAGTTATATAATTGACGTTTGTGAAGTTAGCATCTCAAATCTCAGCATCTCATATTTTAAGCAGAGTTCTTATGGCATCCGACATAGTGCTATAGCTCCTGATACTTTTTATTAATAGTTCTATCGAATTTAGTACCGAAAACTGCAATTTCAAAAATGAGATGCTAACGACCGGAAGTTAGCAACCCAATATAATAAATTAAATAAAATAAACAAAAATTTGACGGTAAATCGATAATTTACGAATAGTTCTAGAGTTCTTGTTAGTTTGTATAGCTAAATTATTTCATTTATAGCCCTGGCCCTTTTAAAATAATTATAAATCTTTATTATACATTTAAATTCTAGACGTTAGTAAAATTCTGTCATATTATGACAACTTCTATGATATATAATGCTTTTCAATTACAACACACTCTGATTTGATAATCGAAGAGTCCTAGCCTCTAGTACTTTTTTCATAATTTTAAGTTAAACAGAAATTATAGACCATAGTAAGATCCTGGCACAATATGACGAGTTTTTGAATATGTAACGCTTTAAAATGATAACTAGACTATCTCTGCATCGACTCGTGAAGAGTTCTAGCCCCTAGCACTATTTGAATAATTTTAAGTATTAATAGTAAAGAGAAATTATATACCATAGTAAGATGCTTGCACATTATGACGAGTTCTAGAATTTATAACGCTTTTTTTATCTTTATCGGTTGTAAGCAGGTAGGGTTAGGTTTGGCCGAGAACACTGCAGCCTCTTGGATCTATTGTATTCCCCTGCTTTCCCCGTATTCAGGTACTATCTTTGGAATAGTCCTGTCTTTGGTTAGTTTTAATAGAATTCCTACCAAGTGTTCCTGGGGCGTTCTTTCCGGTTCTTGGCCGAAAAGGATGAAACGTCGCCCAGTAAGAGCTTCGCATTCGAAGATCACATGGTATGACGTTTCTTCCTCTTCCATGCAAAGTCTACATGTAGTGGGATCATTGTGTAATCCCATTACATGAAGGTGTTTCAGCAAGCAGTGCCCCGTTAATAATCCCACAATGTTGGATATCTGAGGCCTCGCGAGTTGTAGTGCCTCAGTAGTCATGCGTGGGTTTGGTGCCCTTAGCATGAGCTTACTGATTCTGTGCCCTCTTATCTGTTACCAGTGAATTTGGTGTTATATGGTTATCCACCTGTTTACTGCCTGTCGTATAACGCTTTTAAATGATAACTTGACTCTCTTGAGATTGAGATCCGAAGAGTTCTAGCCTCTAGCAATTTTTCAATAATTTTAAGTATTAGTAATAAACAAAAATTATAGGCTACAGTGAGATGCTGTCATATTATGACCATATCTAGAATCTATCATGTTTCTAAATTATATAATAAATATCTTTGCATTGACACCCAAAGAGTTCTAGCCTCTAGCACTTCTTCTATAATTTTAAGTTAATAAACAGAAATTATAGACTGTGGTGGGCAAATTATGACAAGTTTAAGAATATATAACGCTTCTTAATGATAAATATACTATCTCTGCATGAAATGCCGAAGAGTTCTAGCCTCTAGCACTTTTTGATAAAATTTAAGTGTTAATAATAAAGAGAAATTATAGACTATAGTGAGATGCTGTCATATTATGACGAGTTCTAGAATATATAATGCTTCTAAATTATATAGTAAATCTTTTTGCATTGAGATCCAAAGAGTTCTAGCTTCCAGCACTTTTTGAAAAATTTTAAGTGTGAACAATAAAGAGAAATTATAGACCTCATTGAGATGCTGTCTTATTATGACGAGTTCTAGAATATATAATGCATCTAAATGATATAGTAAATCTTCTGCATTGAGACCCAGAGAGTTCTAGCCTTTAGCACTTCTTCAATAATTTTAAGTATTATTAATAAACAGAAATTATAGACCATGGTGGAATGCTGGTATATTATGACAAGTTCTATAATATTTAACGCTTCTTAATGATAACTAGACTATCCCTGCATGGAACCCCGAAGAGTTCTAGTCTCTGGCACTTTTTGAAAAATTTAAGTGTTAACAATAAAAAGAAATTATAGACTATAGTAAGATGCTGTCCTATTATGACGAGTTCTAGAATATATAATGCTTCTAAATAATATAGTACATCTTTTTGCATGGAGACCCAGAGTTCAAGCCTTTAACACTTCTTCAATAATTTTAAGTATTAATAATAAACAGAAATTACAAATCATGGTGGGATGCTGGTACTTTATGACAAGTTCTATAATATATAACGCCTTTTACTGACAACTAGACTATCCCTGCATAGAATTCCGAAGAGTTCTAGCTTCTAGCACTTTTTGAAAAATTTTAAGTGTTAATAATAAACAGAAAGGCTAATGGCCGTACAAGTCGACGCCGATGACACCAAATGAAAAAAATAGTAAACAGAAATTATAGACTATAGAGAGATGCTATCATATTATGACGAGTTCTAGAATATAGAGTACTTCTAAATGATAACTTGACTCTCTCCGAATTGAGAACCGAAGAGTTCCAGCCTGTAAGAATTTTTCAATAATTTTAAGTATTAATTATAAACAAAAATTATAGATTATAGACATATTATGACGATTTCTTAAATATATGTCTCTAAATTACAACATAAAACGTTTTGCAGTGAAACCTAAAAAGTTCTAGCCTTAGCATATTTTCAACCATTTTAAGTATTAATAATAAACAAAAATTATGGACTCTAGGTGAGATGCTGTCATATAATGACGAGTTCTAGAATATATAATTCTTCTAAATGATATAGCAGCTCTTTGTATGGTGAGATGCCGGCACATTATGACGGGTTCTAGAATATACAATGCTTTAAAGTTATAACTTTACTATCTCTACATTGAGACCCGAAGAGTTCTAGCCTCTAGGAATTTTTCAATAATTTAAAGTATTAATAATAAACAAAAATTATAGAATATAGTGATATGCCTTCATATTATGACGAGTTATAGAATATTTAATGCTTCTAAATGATAACATAAATCTGTTTGCAAAGAGTTCTAACCTCTAGCACTTTTTCATTAATTTTTAATAGTTATCATTAAGAGGCGTTATATATTCTATAACTCTTCATAATATGGCAGCATCTCAATATAGTCTATAATTTATGTTTGTTATTAATATATAAAATTATTGAAAATGTGCTAGAGACTGGTAGTCTTTGGATCTCAATGGAGAGAGGGTCAAGTTAACATTTAGAAGCATTGTAATTTAGAAGCATTATGTATCAAATAGGTTATCATAATATGACAGCATTTTACTAACGTCTAGAATTTATATGTATAATAAATATTTATAATTATTTTAGAGGGCTAGGGCTATAAATTAAATAATTTAGCTATACAAACTAACAAGAACTCTAGAACTATTCGTAAACTATCGATTTACCGTCGTATTTTTAAATTTTATTTAACTTATATTGAGGTGCTAACTTCCGGTCGTTAGCATCTCATTTTTTAAATTGCAGTTTTCGGTACTAAATTCGACAGAACTATTAATAAAAAGTATCAGGAACTATAGAACTATGTCGGATGCCATAATAACTCTGCTTAAAATATGAGAAGCTGAGAATTGAGATGCTAACTTCACACACGTATATAATTGCCACTATTATACACATCCTGGGCTTTTCAAAGTCAAGATGAAAATAATTGGTTTTGTTCCCATTTCATTTGGTATTTACACTACACTATAAATAGGCAACAGCAATTAATCGGATATTTTCGATTTTTCGAAGATAAATAATATTAGGTATATTTGATTTTGATTAAAATAATCGAATAATAGATTTTAAAGGAAATATGAAAAATAGATTTTCTTTCAAACTAATAAAAAATAAGTCGTGGGCAACAACTTTCTTCGAAAACTGTGCTAAAATTTAAGTTTTTATTAATTATTATTATTTTTTTTGATGAACAATTTATAAACGAAACATCCAATCACATTAGCTTGCTTTTAAAATAAAATTATGGTGTAAAATGTTTAAACATAATAATTCTATAATTTTTTTACATCTTTTTTTTTTAATTTCGGTTTGTAGGCCGTAAGATAGCGACAGGTTTAGTTGTCCCATTTTCGCATACAAGCTTCGAAGAGAGTTGAAAAGTACATCGATTTTGATAGATTGAAAGGAAATTTACGAATGGCTCCTTTCTTAACAGAAATTAAAATTATTTTGTTGCCCATATTTTCACGCTTGTTCACTTAAATGAAACTAATAGAACTTTGCCTCGGAAAACCAAATGCTTTAATGTTGCAAGAGGTAAAAAGGGTTGAAATACGGGCGTAACCGTGTAACGAAAAACGTATATCATCACTAGTCAGAAAAACAAATTGGCTTAAATAATTCGAATAGCGTATTTTAAGATCATAGCAATCTAAAAGTATTAACAAATTAATACATTTCCGTGACAGATTGTTTACAAAGTTGTAACAAAAGTACTTTTGCGATATTTATTAAATTAGATTATTTATTATAGTTATTTATGCAACAAGTGCAAAAAGTAAGTGTTTATTGCACGTGACGTGAAATTGTCGAGTGCAATAAACACTTTTTGCACGCTTTTCCCATTATGACAATACCAACTAGTATGCGATTAAACAGAGTATTTCACACGTTTTAACCAGTTTTATATGAAAATCGTATTGATTTCTATGACCTATATATTGAAAAAGAAACTATTGAAAACCATTTTTAGTTAGTCAATATTTATGCCATGCACATTTTTTGTCAATTAAAAACAATTCTGTAAAGGGCGAGTCAAAATTCAAATACATTACATTTTTTAAATTGACCATTCAAAATTCTTTTATTTGAATGAAGCATTCCATATACCTAAAGTTATTAATTTTGGGTGATTTTTAAATTTAAATGACAAAAAAGATCATTCACAAAATGCTTTAATTTTAACTGGTCACTGATTAATAGGAAATAGACTGTTTATTAATTGGCAATTAGTAATTAGAATTTAACCAGCTATAATTTATTATTAATTGAATAGTTTTTTAAAAATACCTACCTAATGCGACTTTTACAGTGAGTAAAAAAAATATAAAAATAGCAACCATCAACTTCACATAATACCCACTTTATTCTAGGTTTATTAATAGTTATTTTGACAGGTTTTATTTAATTAGAGAAATGGCCTCAAGTAGTATTTAACAAGGCCTAAAGGTGGGTTTCAAGGTCCAACTCATATTTCTAAGCATTTCCTGAGTAACACTCGAAGTACTTATCTTCACGACTAAAGGTCATATTAAAAAACTGGCTAGACTTAGAAAAAAATATTGCACCGCTAATAACATTAGTAATAACAAACTGTCAGTATTGGGGTTTGAAAGTTAACTTAAAAATATAATAAGCTAGAATAAAGTAGGTATTATAATGGAGTGAGTGTATGTTGGTTACTATTGGTATTTATTTTCTACTTAATATTAAAGTCCTATTAGAAATTGTCAAAAACTTAATCAGTCGATAATAAATTAAAGCTGGTTAAATTCTAATTACTAATTAACAAACTGTCTATTTCCTGTTAATCATGCAGTGGCTAGCTAAATGATCATTTTTGTCATTTAAATTTAAAATTCACCCATAATTATTAACTTTAGGTATAAGGAATACTTAACTCAAATTAAAATTTAATTAAGATACTTTTGAATGGTTGTCAATAAAAAAAATGAGAAAATGATGTAGGGAGTGCTTTAACATAAGATGTTGACTAATATCGAAAAACTTTTACAGCAAAAAAATTGTTTTCAATTGTTTCTTTTGCAGTATAAATCAATACGATTTTAATAGAAAATTGATATAGCATGTGAAATACCCTGTATAATCCCATACTATTTGGCATTGTTAATGGAAAAAGCGAGTGCAATTCAAATATACAATAAAAAACGTAACTGTGATGTATGTCAGATGTATATCAGAAAATGCAACAATTTAAAAATAATTATTTTTAAATTGTTGCCTTTTCTGATATACATCCGTTATGAAAACAAATTAGTAGCCATTTGAGAAATATACATTTTCCGCAAATCGATGGGAAATTTTTACATTCCAAACAAAATTTCTTAAAGAAAAAGTCAAGATTTCCTTTTAGTTTGACAATTCAACATTAATACGTTTCCATAGTAACGCAACCAATTTTATTACGAATTTCAAAGCACCATTTATTTGTGAATAAAATTATTCGCGATTTTTCCAAAATTAATTAATATCTATCGAATTTAAAAGATTTGCGGAAAAATAGTAGGAAAAGCCTCGACTTAGCAATCTTCATAATCGTCCAGGAATATTAGACTTTTCCTACTTGGTAAACAATATACTATTTCGTGACAGAAAACTAGTTTACATTATACAAAAATTGAAAGCGTTGAACCTTATGAAAAATGTAAATTGATTATATTTGGATATTTACTTAATGGCATTTTCAGGTTAAAAGTACCTTGCGTAAAAGACAATAAAGAGAACTGCGCCAGTCCTTACAGTTTCAAGAATCACATGAGCCTGACTATTAATTATAAAGAGTTCGTGGAGGAGGTAAACTCCGCGAAAGTATCAGGAAATCTAGATGTTCCAGAAGGTGGTCTGGATGCAGTAATGCAGGCTATCGTTTGCAAAGAAAAAATCGGTTGGCGAGACCAGGCAAGACATTTATTGGTATTCTCCACAGGTAAGCGTTTATTTTAATTTGTTTTTTGTCAGTGTGTGGCGTTTCATTTGATAAAAGATTCCATACGTGTCTAGGAGCTACCGATATGATTTCTGCCAAGATTCATATGCTTTTTTATTGACAATGTGTTGTGTTATGAGGTTTAACAAAAAACGCTCATTCGTTTCGGTATTCTCTAAATGCTGTGTATTTGAAGAACATAGAGCGGTTTCAAAAAAGTTACACTTGAGTAGCGTTCATAGCCCTCAGAAAGTCTAGATACCGCTTGGTGTATGCTAACAATAGGCCTTTTCATCACAATTTTTTTTTGTGCGCATGCGTCAGTATCAGCCATCTTTTTCGTACTGTTTTTTGTAAACAAGCGTGTTAAAATGTCCACGTGAAAAAAATTATAATCGATAAATATTAATTTTAAGTGTATTCGTTTAAAAAAATGGGATAAAAATAGTAAAATAATAAGTATATTTAATAAGTACAATTTTGTGGCAACATTTTTTTTTAATTGAACCAATATATAGGTTTAAGAGTAAAATAAAACACAGTTAGCAGATTTTTTATTGTTGTAATACAAGTATAAAGGAAGATTTGGGAATGTACATGGTATTACTTCATCCTTTAATTTCAGCTTTCCCCTTTTACTGAGGCCCTTCCTATGGGGCCTTGTATTATAATTGTGATATTGCGAATTATATTGAATTTTTTCTAGTAGATCTAATGCCCTGGTACTGTCATTTTTATTTTATAAATAAATATCAGTCATGTACTGAACATAATTCTGAACTGAAAGCCAATTTATTTCTTTTAACATAGTTGTAATACTCATCCTCCTGTCCTTTATTAATAGAATATAAATAGGCGAAGTAAAAAGCCCAAATATTTTACATGAGCAGGCTTAAGAGGTAAAGGGGCCAATTATTATTGGATAAATTGCTCGAACAAGTTTTTAAACCCTAATAAAAAGGCGATATAGAATGGTTTTTAAAATCAAGGCTTGTGAAAATCATCACATGGTTTAACCTAAGTAATGCCAATGCTTCACAAACCAAAAAATTCAACGTGCTAATACTACTATCGGCTTTCAGTATTTCGTTCCAAGTTAAATCATTTCTCGTTTTTGTTACGCTACGAGTTTACCCTTGCGGGCCTCAGTCTCGATAAGGTGGGAACCACCATTTTTCTCTCTCGAATTTATTTTGCTAACAGTACCATCAGTAAAAATAGTCTCATAATATTTGATAATATCTTCTAAAAAGTATAGAACAGCATCATCTCTAGAAAGTGCTTTATCGGCACTAGGAACGATATATATGCTGCCACTGTTCTAAACGTTTAGTATCCTATAAAAAACATTCACAATGACACAACTGAGGGATCAAAAAAAAATTACAGTAGCAACTCTTTATCTAACATTAAAACTCTATAAAAAATAAATTTTCTTTTCTAAGTTAAATTTAATGCATAATTATTGTTGAATAGAGAGAGACATTACATACGAATTTCAATCTGTCGAACGAAGATAGACGCTTCTCAACACGTACCGAATTGAAAGATGAGAATCCCACTGCTGATCGTTTTGACAATCCGCCGACTCATTCTGGTACGAATCAGAAAATACGTTGGAACGTTTTACTGACAATTCATCGGATTATCCGTGGCATTGTAGAAACGGACTATTTTCGATGCGCATGCCTCTGACGCACTTCTGATGATCTGTATTGGGATTCTCATCTTTCAATTCGGCACATGTTGAGAAGCTTCTATTTTCGTTCCACAGAATGCGATTTGTATGTAATGTCTCTCTCTATTTGATTCGTTACGTGTTGAGTACGACATAAGAATCCTTGTCCTGATTCGCTGTTGGAACAAACCAGGTTTTTAAAGAAATCTTTTAGTTTTAGAAGTACATACCTTATATTTTTGAAATCGTTAATTCCTGGCTGTATATAACTATTTTTGACTTCAAAATAACTGATAATTGGTATAATTTATGACTTATATTTTACGATTGTGAATAAAACTATTTACGCAGTGTATAATAATGTAATTTGTAATTTTTTAATTATTTCAGATGCAGAATTTCACATAGCAGGAGACGGCAAACTAGCGGGCGTAATTGAACCAAATCCTGCAACTTGTTACAATAATGACTCGGAATATTTGATTTACGATTATCCTTCCGTCTCTCAAATAAATTATGTAGCCAGAGAAAACAATGTTAATATAATTTTCGCAATTGTGAAAAAAACCGGATACGGAACATCGGCTGCTTATAAGTCTTTATCGGAAAACATAAAAAATTCAAATTTTGGAGAATTGGACGAAAAAGGCGGTAACAACGTAATCAGTTTGGTTGTAGATAACTATAATGTAAGTATAATCTATATGGTTTATATTTGAATTTATATATTCTAAAAAAGAGAAAACGTCTGTTTCCAAATTTCTATGGAAAAAGTTTTTGTTTTAATTTTTAACGGTTAATAATAAATAGGTAATAAAAAGGTAAAAGTTTATTTTAATTTTATACAGTGTGTCTACTTAAGTTGGAACCATATGGAAAACATTTTTATTATTGATTTTAGGAAAAAAAGTTATTCTTGATAAAAAGTCCTGCATGACCCAAAACTTAAAATACAGTCATCAGATATCAAATTGTTCAAGCCGTATACGAGGTTTGTCAAAAAATATGAATTTTGCTCAAGAGTAAAGTACGTTGTGTGTGCAGTGGTTGACTGGCATCGGGATTAACCCATTTGCCACAGACATTATTATTTTTATTACAATTGTTACCACTGATTCTTAATTGTTATTGGTTTATATGTTAATTTTAGATTCTTTAATAAATGTTATCAATGTATCAAATACTTTTTTATTGTTTGAGATCAATAGCAACGTAATATTGGTTGGAAAAGAAATCCCTATATCTAATAACTAATTTTTTCTATATTTGTTGGTAAAGTACTTTTATTTTTTTTACAAAATCGAAAATTTTCATTAAGAAATTTGCTAAATTCTTCACAAACATCAACAAAAGGAAAGCGTATCATGTTTATAGTAGCTATCGTAATTTATAACGTTTTCAGATATTTACAATCAATGTGTAGAGTTTATAAAAAATAAGAAAACCTGTTTTTTCAGATAGATCGGTGTAATTGCATATTTAAATGTAATATTCAATTCTAATCAACTTTTCTTAATGAAAATTTTCGATTTTGTCAAAAATAAACGTACTTTACTCTTGAGCAAAATTCATATTTTTTGAGAAACCTCGTATACGGCTTGAAAAATTTGATATGTGATGACTGTATTTTAGGTTTTGGGTCATGCAGGACTTTTTATCAGGAATAACGTTTTTTCCTAAAATCAATAATAAAAATGTTTTCCATATGGTTCCAACTTAAGTAGACACACTGTATATAGTCCATCAGATAGTGACAGGTTTAGGTGCCCCATTTTCGCATACAAGCCTCGAAGAGGGTTGAAAAGTACATCGATTTGAAGTAGAATGAAAAGAAATTTACGAGTGGCTTCTGGGGATAACACATGGAAAATTCGATTTTCCCTAGCAAAAATTAAAGGTGATTTGTAGCCCATATTCCCATGCAAGCCGTTTTCACTATATGATTAATTAATAGAACTAGTCTTCGGAAAACCAAAGGCTTTAATGTTGCAAGTGGCTAAAGGGTTGTAATAAGGGTGTAATATTCTAAGAAAAAATCGAAATTTTACCCGATTTTTCCACACAAGCGCATCGAATTTATGAAATCGTACTTCATCACTAATCCGAAAAACATATTTTCTTGAATGAACCGAATGTATAAGTGCATGTTGGGGCCGGAAAATTTTTCTGTTAAGGAAAATGCGTTATCCCCAAGAGCCACTCGTAAATTTTCTTTTATTCTACTCAACATCGATGTACTTTTTAACCCTCTTCGAGGCTTGTATGCGAAAATGGGGCACCTTAATCGGTCACTATCTGACGGTCTAATACTTCAGATATCTACAGAGTGGCAATTTATCAACTTACAATGGCTATATCTTATGAACTAAAGATGAAAAGTAAAAGCTAATAAATAGCTATTTGTGTAATAAGAGCGAAAAGTGCTACTCGGAGCGCGTAAATTTATCGTAAGTAGTGTCGTGGGCTATGAAATTTCTGTACTTACTTCTACGTCACGCAAAAGGGTTTTCTTCCTGTACATTGACTGTAACGGGCTATGGGCGGTTCATGCAGCAATACCTTCTGGATTTCAAATGTAACTTCATTTATGTTGAAATTAAAAATGTACCTTCCTTTAACTTGTTTATTTAAATCTTGATAAACTCTAATATAAACTATAACATTTTTGAACACTGTACTTAATTTACTAATTTACATATTTGGTTGGTAATTAAACGTTGACTTATAACATCTTACTGTATTGCAAGAATCTCGCAAGAAAGAATTTGAAAGTTAATGTGTATTGTTTGGCAGTGAGAAAGATTCTGACTATGTAGACCGAAGCGATGTACTTGGCTTGTTACGTGACTTAAGCTGTTACATTTCTATTCATCTATAGAACATCGTATAAGCTTGGCGGGAGAGACGACTTTGCTTGTTGATTTATTTAAAAAAATTAATGAGAGTGACGGAAATAAGACTTATATGAAGAGAGAGATGTGGTTTGAAATGTTCTAACCGTTTTTGTTATTTGTTTGTGCTGAGTCGATTCTAAAAGTAACTTTTGTAATATATGTATTGTTTTTTATGTGATTGAAACAAGATGTTTATTATATTTTGTTAAATTAGGTAATGCAAACTATGGATTGAATAATGAATTTTAATGTTATTTCTGTTGCTTTTATTTTCATTATGTATACAAGGTGGGTTATAAGCGTAACTGACGTATCCGTTAAAGAAAGCTTGTCATTTTTGAACAAGTAGCAAACAGATTTTTGCTCGAATTACACACAAGATTTTTTCTACGATTTAAACGATATTACCAATTTACCAATAATTTTTCTTCAGTATCGATCCCGATTCCAAACGTATTCTGAATGCTAAAGTAGAGCATACACGCCTACATAAACATTTATACAATTCAAATCCAGGAATAATTTGCAGTATAATTTTTACCTTAGCGTTCAGAATCAGTTCAGGATTGTTACCGCGAACGAAGCTAATGCAACGACGAACAACTACTAGACTAATTGCGAGAATGTGGATGCACACTAATCTCTCGGCTAGCTTCTCCGGCCATTTCTATCTAAAAAGAGTGTTCTCTTTAAAGAACAAAAAAAGTTAATAATTGGAACAGAATCGCTTGCCTACAGTTTTCTAGTAGTTGATGATATATGCAAGAAAATGCCAATTTTTTTATGAAACACCGAGCTTCGAGCACAGTGCTTGCTTGGTAATTGGCAATTAAAGTGCTTGCAAGCACTCAAAAGAGGATGTCCAATAACACTGCTAACAATATCGAGTTTCTCCAATAAGTGCTTCATTTGATGACAGACAACACCTCCACGCTGGCAGCTGCATCCCAAAATTGTTATTTTTGTGGAAAATCAAAACACCTAGGTCAAATTGCCCTGCAAGAGATCAAACTTGCAAATACTGTAAAATAGTGGGACATTTTGCAAAATTCTGTCAATCTAAATCTACCAAAAAGAAAAATGCTACAGCTTCTACTTATTTTCTTGGAACTTCAACCACTTCAAATGTGTTTGGCCTCTCAAAAACAATGGTTGTGTGTTCTATAAATGGTTATTAAGCTATGTCGCTTGTAGATACCGATAGCTCTGACAGCTATATAGATTATGATTATGCATTAAAAAATGACATTAAAATCCATGATGGACCCAGAAAGGTATTAATGGCTACCATTAAATTAAAGATTACTGCTTTATAAATTTGTATTCACTTGTTCACAAATATGTCAATTTAAGAATAACAGTTTTCCCTAACTTATGCTCCCACCTAATTACCGGCCATGATATTTTAAGACAGCAGGATATTAGATTTGGTGGGCCTAAATCTACTATGTCTGCCTGCTGTCTAACAGCGGCCAAAGTCCACCAACGTCCACAATTATTCAGCAACCTTCTTCCAAATTATAAACCAATTGCCATAAAAGCTCGTAGATATTCTAAAGACAACGAAAAATGCATTTAAAGAAGAAGTAGAAAAACTGCTGAAGGAAGATATTGTAGAAGAAAGCGTATCTCCATGGCGGGCTCAGATATTTTTAATCAAAAATGAAAATCATAAAATCGAATGGTGTTGGATTATTCTCAGACCATTAATAAAAATACTCTTCTCGATGCTTTTCCTCTACCAAATATCGAGAAGCTCATTACAGATGTCGCAAATTATGAGGTTATAATTAATTAGAGGTTTAGGGAGAAAAAGATTTATTACACGAGAATATAAAATATAATAACTCTGATAATACAAATATGTCTGACAATTCTCTAAAAATTAATGTCACACATATTCAAAATAAATATGAGGGTAACTCAAAAATTATATAATGCATGGTAAGTTCAACTTATTTACAACAGAGATATTTAGTACTATTGATTTAAAAAGTGCTTACCACCAGACAGCTATCCAAGAGCACGAAAACCCATTTACAGCTATTGAGCTTTATCAATCTTGTCGGATACCTTTTGGAGTTGCCAACAGTGTAACTTGTTTCCAACGGGTAATAGATGAAATCATTACAAAAGAAAATTAAAGGGAATTTACGCGTACCTTGATGATGTTACTGTTTGTGGAGAAAATCAAGTTTTACAAGACAAACAATTAGAAAATTTTATGGACGTTGTTCGAAAATATTGGCAAATACTCAATGAAAATAAATGCCAATTTTCAAAAAAAAAACATTTGTTAAGGTACTTAATTGAAAAGAAAACACTTAGACCAGATCCGAAACATCAAAAAACCATTGCTAAATTTTAGTTCACCAACTGATAAAGCAACATTCTGCCATCTTTCATATATTGTATTATGTACGATGATTCTGCAGAGTCATAGGTATGTTTACACACTATTCGAAATGGATACCCAAATTTTCACATAAACTTCATAGCCTCACTAATTGTGTTACCTTTCCTTTACCTGCCAACATGTTTCAAGATTTTTAAAATTTAAAGAGTGATATTGCCAAGTCATTCCTTATTATAATTAATAAGAACGAAGTACTCGCCGTACAGACAGGCTACATTAAGCGCAATTGGAACACCAATTGCATTTTTTACTAGAACACTTTCGGCTTCAGAGCGGACACTCTGCAATTGAAAAGGAAGCCTATGCGATAGTGAAGTTACTAATAAAGTGGAGAGACATTTCTTGATAGGACGTCATTTGAACGATTAAACATTGACTTCAAAGGACGTTTACCTAGTAACACTGCGAATAAATATATACTTACTATTGTTGACTAGTATTCCCGATATCCGTTTGCTTTCCCTTGTGCAATCATACATTCTTCGACTGTAATCCACTGTCTAAGCTACTGTCATATTCTCTGTGTTTGGATTACCATCATACATTCATTATGACAAACGAGCTTCCTTTATTTCTAAAGAACTCGTAACTTCATTCTCATAATGTATCGACAAGTAGAACTATTCCGTATAACCCAGAAGGCAATGGGCAGGTTGAATATAATGGTATAATTTGGAAAACTATTAATTTAGTACTGAAAACCAGAAATCTACAACCTACTCAGTGGGAATTAGTATTGCCTGATGCTTTACACTCAATTAGATCTTTATTATGCACATCGATAGTACACCGCATGAACGAATGTTTATACACGGTCGTAGAGTTTTCCATGGAACTTCCCTCTCAATTTGGTTATCACCATCTAACATAGTTCTAAACAGGAAAAATGTTCATTAGAGTAAATATGATCCGCTAGTAGAAGAGGTGGAACAGTTAGCTCCTTGAGGCGATACAAGTTTGCTCGACAAAGAAGGTAACGATAAAGTGACTTAGGCAACAATGAAAACATTCCAAATCTTAATACTGTAAATGACGCTATCCCACAAAATTCAAAAAATGAAGATGACCATAATAATGAGAAAGAAAACATATTCAGAAGATACTCCAGAGTTCGTCGACCACCCTACTATTTCAGAAACTACTCTCTGGAATAAAAGTTGGAAAGAATGTCGTATATTTTATCTAGTTAGTTTGTATGTATATTATTATCATATTGTATATTTGTTTATTTGTCTTTATTACAATACTTACTCCGTTCCTGGTCATTTTATATCTTTTTGTTATGTTCTCTATCATTAAATGTAGAGGAGTGAGGTTTAAAGATCACCTCCATTGCGGACGTAGGACAAGGTTTTCATTGCACCGGTGATGCAAACACAGGCTAGTCTTTGTTATTTTTGAGATATTAGCTGTCGTTATAGGAAATAGTTCTGTTACCTTAAAAAAGTGCCCCTAGAATGTCTAAACCAAAATACCGTATAGCACCCGGAATCCTTTGCGTTCCTCTTTTTAACGATTAATTTATGTTTGACGCATAATATAGAGAGCTTAATTTGATTAATTAATGTTTAGAAAATAGTTCAATCCGTCAGATTTACTCATGACGCACCGGCCGAAGTAGACATTAAATTCTCCTCAAACTGCAAGAGTTCTATTTCCGATCGATGCAGCAACGTCCACGTAGGAACAGTACTTGACTTCGAAGCTTCGATTCAACTTCGAGAATGTCCACAAGATGGCAACAAAACCAGATTGATCTCAATTCGACCGGAGGGTATTAGCGAGAACCTTACGATAGAGCTTGAACTCCAGTGCGACTGCCCTTGCTCTTCCAAGAGCGATTCCACGTTCGTATCGAATGCTGCGCAATGCAATGGGGCAGGGGATTTAAAGTGTGGTGTGTGCGATTGCTCAGAAGGCAGGTTCGGTAGGATGTGTCAATGTGACAGCTCGCAAAGTTCTTCCGAGAACGTGACTAATTGCATAATGGAGGACAGTACTGATATATGCTCTGGTATGTTTTTAAACTTTTGACAATTTTTTTTAAGATAATTTAATGTAGTTTAAAGGGTTCTAATTAAACTCGTCTGAAAATAAGAACTATATTTAAAAAATTAATTACGTTACTTTAATCCCACCACTAAACTCGCTTGCAAACAAATTAGGGTAATATAAGAGAAGTATTAAACTCGCATGGAAAAAGGATTTCACCAAAATAACGATCAATTGCTTATTTCAAAGAATAATTTATTTTAAAACATCTTAATCATGATTATATTATAATATTAACACTAATAGTTACATTATTTCTTAGGGATATTTTTTAAAATTTTATTTTAATTATTACTACATATAAGAAAAAAATTTTTCAAATGCGAGCCCCCAGCTCGCATTACCCCATATTACACAATTTTTGTATTCCTCTATTTTTTTAATTAGTCTATTTGTTACGCGTTGACAGATCTTTGTTTTTAGCATGTTTAGGAATACTTTGAACTTTAATATACATCAATCTGCAGAGTTAGAAGAATATTGAAAAAAATAAAAATTGAAGTAAGCTTTTATTAAATTTTGAATGAAATGTTTCGCATGTATTAGCACTTCGTTCAATGCTTCCAGATATTTCGGGCCACAATTCTTGTGAAAATTTAAATTTGTTTGAAAAATAAGTATCCACTAGGTAGTTTGAAAATTTTACAACTTTTTTGTGCTGAGGTTGAATAGAGTAGGAAGTCAAAGACAAAACTGTCTCCAACCTCGTTAAGGTCGAGAAAAATTAAACCAAATACTTAATGCAACCAGTGTCCAACTTTAACTAAAATTCACCTTTTTTAATTGTCGGTTCCAGATTAATGAATTATTTTCCAAGGGATTCGGTTTAACAGCAACGTTATCCCGTGGTCGACGGCGTATGGTGAATTAAAGATTTCACTGATTGACGGGGTAGTGAAGGGCCTATTGACTCGGGGCACCTTGGATGTTGAGAAATTAAGTCAGCAAAACATGTCTGTGCGATTACTGGCCTTGCTTGGCTTACGTGGCTTTAGAAAAGTTCAAAACTGTAGGTATTCCTTACCAAGTTGGAAAATTAATTTCCTTGAGATAAGAAACTCGAACTCCGGCTTTAAGAAATTTAGTCGTGAGATCACTGGCCTATCCTCTCTTACGAAGCTTTAGAAATTCTAAAACGGTCCACAATTCGGAACTAGTAAAGACTCTCACAAATGTTCAAAACCGGGAATTTTTAAAAAATAAAAACGCTAAATCAATTTGAACTAAACATTTTTATAATTAAACTAAAGAGAATTTAGTGACTTCGTCACAGTTTGATCTTTCATTGAAATTATTACGAGACAAGTAACTTCTTATGGACATCTTCGACGAATCGTTTTCTTCGCATCGATTTCATGTGCATGAACTGTATCTTTCTTGACAATAAAATACTGACTTCAATTGGTGTAATTAAGGAAAATTTTCCAAGAAACAAATGGTTTCATGCTATATAAGTAAGACAAGTTTAAAGCTTACTCTAGGCGATTCACCAGATACATAATCATAAATTGACGGATAAATTGCAATAAATCCCTAAAAAGAAGGAGGGGGAGGCGACAGGTACAAAGCAGCTTCGAACCTTGCCAAAGCTTCAAATGAACCCTAATTATTATTAAAATAATATATCAAATCTACACAGGCGAGATTATGTGTCGGATTGTAAGTCAGAAGTTTCAGGCCGGGCGAGTTTAATGGTGTCATTAAGATATTCTACCTGCTCACAGGCGACTTTAAAAGTACGACCGTTAAAAGTATAGTACATTATGGATCATTGAAGACGATTGCAATCTAAACCCTAACTTAACATTTGACGCAAAATATTTGTAAACTAAAGTTTATAAGACCTTAAGGCAAATTCGTGTCCTAGAAAGCTCGCAACATTGTAAATAACAAATTTGAAATTTTTCTTTTAAATAGTATACATTATTGGTAATGTCTACATTACACTCCCAGACAGCACACCAAATCCTTTGGATATCTACTTAACATCCCAATATCCACTGAATGTCCAGTCCATGGTAGATATCTATTTTATATCCATGAAATGTAATTTATAGACATGCAAATGTCAATAAATAATAGTAATTATATAGCAAATTATTAAAAAATTACGCCATTGTGCTCGCCATTGTGGCTAATAGTACCGTTCAGATATTTAAAATTAATTTTTTTAAGGTGTATTCAATATGCCATGAACATCCACTAAATATATCAAAGTCTAGGCGCGAACGCAAACCATCGTGGATATCCACTAGATGTTATTTGATTCTGCTTACTATCGCATCTACTATCGCATCTACTCATGCTCGACCCGCCGTAATTGAGTTCGATCGAAATGTCCTATTCATTCCATTAGAGACTGGAGTCGTGAATTTTCATTTATTGCTGAAGAGTCCTAATAAGGATGACTTTCTCCTTAGTGGGCAAACTCAAAGGCAGAGTGTTGAAAATATTTGGAGTGTTGAAAATATTTTTTATCTCTGCTATTTTCTTTCGACGATATTCAATAATCATTGGTTACTTATAAACCTCTACTAAAGATACCCATAAAATATTTTGCTGAATATCCGAATATCTTCTATATCCTGGGATATAGACGGACATTTGGTTGGATATCCATATTGGATATATTGAATATTCACAAAATATGTTCTGTGGATATCTCTGTGATTTCTTGTATTTTCTGGAAGATACTCATTAGATATTTTACTAAATATCCATTAGGATATCTTCTATATCCTGGATATAGACGGACATTTGGATATCCATATTAGATCCACGGAATATTTCTGATATCCTGTGGATATATTGGATATCCACAAAAGATATTCTGCGGATATCTCTGGGATTTGGTGTGTTGTCTGGGCTGTTGCCATATTTTAACAATGATTTTATAAAACTTCTGCAAACAATACCAAACTTTTGTTAATTTGTAAACATTGATATAAATAGATGAAAAAATGTAATCTTCTTTCTGTTTTATTTTTACTAAAATTATTTTAACTCGTTATATTGAGTACAACTCTGTACAGTTCTCAGCGAGGGACTCGTATCTGCATTTGTATACGGATTATGGTAATAAACTCATGTTAAATTAAATCGTGATCCACATAAAGTGTTTCTAAAGTAGGCCATGACCGACCAAGACATATACGAAAAAATTAATTGTACGCTCGACCTACGTGAATTTTTCCAAGACCTACTTTAGAAACATTTTTGTGGATCACTCCTTATTTCATCATATCTTAACGATTTTGGAGGTATAAATAATACAAAATTGAAATATTTTTTAGGTACTGGTACATGCAAGTGTGGCAAGTGTGAATGCAACACAAATCCAAACAATCCAAGTGAAAGGATTAATGGACAATTTTGTGAATGTGATAATTATTCTTGCAAAAGGGAAAACGGACTACTGTGCTCAGGAAAAGGTAAGAAACAAATCTACTTGCTAAGAAGCTTTTCAGAAAAGCTTTCTTCTTTAAGCCCCGTTCAAACGTAACCAGTGATTTAGGAGCCTATTCAGTAACTCTGAACGACGTCGTTAATAGACGATAATCGTTCACAGACGACTTTTCTTATTCAGTAGACAACGATTATAATTGAAGATAGACAAATATGGTTGCAAAAGTATCGTTCATCAACGATAGCCACAGAACTATCGTTAAATATGAAGTGTCGTTATAGTGCCTTTTCCACTGGCTTTTGTTTTAAAATACCTGTCAGGTTTTACAGAGGGTCAGGATGTTTTCTAAATAATAAAAGCACTTTATTTTTTATAAATTTTACAACTAAATGGCCATCGACCTAGTACAGCAAGTACAATTTGTAAGGGAATTTTTTCTAATTAATTTAAATATTTAAAAATAAATTCTGATTCTAATTAACAGTAAGAAAACCTATATTATGGAAGTACCTATTATAGTACTAGTACTCCGTTACTCATCAGAAAACAAGGCCACAGAATACCTATGGCAGCTAATGGCCTGAGTCTTGTGAGTTGTCGAAGCCGATGACAACAACAAAAAATATCACGATTGACAGTATCGAATTTGATTTCTTTCTTTCAAATCCAACAAATACAACTCGCACTGTTGCTTTTTGTATTCTTTTGGAATAGGTAGTTATCATTCTTTTAAATATATTCATACTCATTTAAATAAACCTTACAATACGACCAGCAAATAGCCCGCGACAAATAGATGCGATAAACATTGGAGGCGATACGTCACTTCTTCAATTAGATTAGATTTATCCCTAGTTGTTTTTTTCTTGAACGCATCTCGTAGTACACTTCTCTGATCGTATTGTAGTTAAGGTTAAGAATAAATAGGTATATTGTGAAGAACAAGATGAATATACTGGTATAATTTTTATTTTGTTTCAAAAAATGTCAAATTATTAGAAATCATCTTTCAGATTTGGTAACTAGAAACAACGTAATGACTTTGTTATTGAATAGAGTTTTAAAAATTAACGTTATAAAAGTCGGTTGAACTGTCGTTAGCTTTTAACGATGTCGTCCATAAACAATAAATTACTGAAAGGCCCCAAGTCGAGTCAAAACAAGCGTTTACAAGTGGCCAGTACTTAGTTTAGAACTCAATTAGCAGCAAGTCGAGTACCTATGGTGAATTTTCAAAAATGTGTGTAAATTTAACTAATAATTGGGTCTAAGAAATACTTTAGTTTATCAGTACGTCCGCTGGCGCAATAGGCATATTTCTGAGAAAGGAGGCAGTTGAAAAATGGTATATACAGTATTAAGTGCTTTTTGCATTCGGGTGTTTTATAAAAACAATGATACTTATGTTACTGTGCGTTGTTTATACATAAATCATTATAACATAGCAAGAATGAATGATGTCCTATTGTCCCTACTGCATATTTAATTAAATATTGGTTAAAAAAGTTTGAGAGTACTGGAAATTAAATTTGCACTTGGGATATCTTTCATTCTTGCACGAACGACGTACAATAATAATTATAAGACTCATTGTTTCTATACTTCATTCTCGGGAATGTGCCTATTGCGCCAGCGAATTAATTAATAAATAAAAATATTTCTGAAACACCCTATATTATTATGAATCTAAAACGACAAGTTACGAAATAAAATTATTTAATGTTCTAGGCAATTGCAACTGCAAAAAATGTGAATGTCAAGCTGGATTTAGTGGAGATGCCTGCGAGTGCGATGAGAATCAAGCTAACTGCATTGCCCCTGGAAGTGACCAAATTTGTTCCAATCATGGAAAATGCCAGTGTGGACATTGTGAATGTGAGATTACAGACAATAACAGATATTCCGGAAAATATTGTGGCGATTGTACTTCCTGTCCAGCTCAGAGGTATCCAAGATTAATTTATTTAGAGAACGATGCAGCTATTTAGGGTGGTTTACCTAGTAAGCCGATCCCCACTAGTAGTCGGTCACTTGAGTCTTTTTTTTTATAATAACTTGAATTTACCGCCGCTTTGAAATAGTTTTTTTTTACAGGTAAAAGTTCATCTTTCCTTTACCTAAAAATCAAAGTATTCTCCCTCTTGTGTCAAGTTTTATTATTTCCGCCTAAAAACTACCTACTTGCAAGTTGAGCTCATCTAGCAGTTATTTTTTAGTATAGTGAAAGATGCAAGTGCATAACTAAAACAAGTGTGTTTAGTCTAATTATAAGTGTTTAGAGGCTATTTTAAGTCTCTTAAGGTAAGTTTAAACTTTAAAATAACTTATTTTTGATACAAAAACAGATATTAGAATTTTTAAGCTTAAAATAAGGTGGCCGGTTAATGAAATAAATTCTAACCCGTGGTGCTAGTAGTCGGCCATAGTGGCCGACTACTAGAACATTGACCCTTTTATATTTCTATCTTTTTGCTTTTATAGAAGTCGGAATATATCTTCCTTGCATGGCACCATTTAGAGTAATATCAAACAATATATATTGTACTAGTAGTCAAAGTGAATAACAAAACAAATTACAAGCGTTTTAAGTTGGTGGCCGACTACTAACTAGAACAGTATCCACATTAAGCACTTTGCTAGTTGTCGACTACAACATTTTGTCTATTTCTTGCATCTTTTGATCTAAAATTTTCCTTTTTTTTTATTCTAGACCATGCCTAAACATACAAAGAGAAAAATCCACATGTACTCGCAGGAAATCTTAAAAAGAACTATAGAAAAGGTTAAAGGGGGCGCAAAAATAAGAGATATATGGCGGGGTTAATCGGTCAACACTTCAAGACCGGATTAACGGACGTGTTAGTGAAAAATCACGAAAGATGGGTCCAGTAATGTTTAGAAGCTTAGAAAATGAGAGAAAGTTAGTTGACTGGTTAATTCAGTTTTGTTTGTTTTCGTACATTTTTATTTTTTATCCTTATGTATTTTCTTAATAAATTATAAAATAACATATTTGTGTTCAATTTTGGTTATTATATTACACACTTGTCTCATTTTTACAAAGACCCTACGATTGAATGGGAACGTTTTTAGTTTAAATTGTTACAATAAAATTTTGTAGTTCTGATCTGCAGTAAATTGCTTCAATTTATTGGCGGCCGACTACTAGGATATGCTTGGCCGACAACCAGCATATGTGTGGCCGAATTAGAGGTGGGAAGTTCGAATCTTTTTACTGAATTAATTCATTTGATTCATTCACCTAAAAAGATTCGTTCTTAAAGATTCGTTCTCAAGTGATTCACTTTAGCGAACCACGAACGATGTTATTCCGCCGATCCGTCGAAGGAAATCAAACCGAACGTTTACGAATTTGAGAACTACCTATTTACTAGGTCGTCGAGTGGCGTTCAGTCTGTAATGCGTAAGAAAGAATGTAATGATTTGAGTGGTGAGATGCTTAAGTAAAATAATTAATACCGGTTTTATTTTAATTTGATATTTTAAAGTATAGCGAATTATTTCATAAAAAGAAGACAGATGGAAATTTAAATACTATAATAGTAGGTTCATCCTTGTCCGTTAAGATAAACAACAGTAACACAATTTTTTTTAATGCTAAATATAGCCAAAACTAACGAAAAATTATAGATATATGATTCGTCATTTATTGCTTTACTTATTTACTTTGATTTAAATTTATTTATCAGACAACGCGCATAAATTGTTTACCTAAGTTTAATACACCTCTGGTAAAGTGAGAAAAACATTACAGACACATACCGCCACCGCCTGTAAGTTCGAGTTCTTGTATTATGCTGTAGAACGTAGAACAAAAGCGACCGATTTGCCGATGCTGATTTAAAATACCGAATCTTCCAATCAGATCCGAATGAACGAAACAACCAAACTCGGAATCGGGCGTTCTTGATCGATCACAGAGCCGTCGAACAATTGACTCAAAAAAGATTCGAATCTTTTAAAAACAGGGAATTAATTCATTCGAGTCAGTGCACTGATTCGTTCTTTTTGAACGAATCGTTCGCGAACGACACACCTCTAGGCCGAATATTAGAAAAAAGCACATTCTCTTAATTACATTTTTTTTCTGTAAGTCTAATATTTATGCTTTCTTATTATCTCAAAAATAGCATCCTAAGTTGTAAAACAACTGAGCAACTTATTATTCAATTTGAATGTCATCTAAAGTGGCCGACTACTAAAACCACTATTACTAGGTAGGAAAATAATGTTTAATCAATCCTGCGTGTAATACATCTTATTTTTCCCCTACCTGTATAAGAAACTAAAAATGATAATTCTGAAGATCGTTTAATCATATTGACATTCCGGAAAAAACTTCTTAAAAAAAAGTCAATATTTAGAAACAAATCGTTGACATGAATTCAGCCGAATACCAACACGCTTTCAGTAACGGTTCTATTTGGGGGAAAAGTAACAACCGCATGTAGTCGCAATTTAAAGGTGACGACATACGACAGCAGAAGTGACGGCAAATGAGACCAAGAACGGTCTCTTCACGTCTGAACACATGCAATTATATAAAACACATTTCGCAAGGCGTGACCAGTGCGAGAGACAGAAGTCGACGACAGGTAGATCGGTCTCGGGCTAGAGCGTTTGCTGCCTGTCGCGCTCAATCCACAGTCATCGCTTGTATTTGTTGTGTTTAGCATGCGTGTTCTTTTTTTGATGCCCTATTCTTTGTTGCATTTCAAATAAAAACAATGATTATCTTGAGGTTTTTTTATGGAGCAAACCTACAATAGTGGCTGCTTATTACGCTGCTTTTATTTCAGCAAATTTACTAGAGAAAATATTCTTTGGCGACGTTGTCAACTACATTAAATCTGTAGGCTGGCTCACGAGCTAGGAAGTGTCTATCATCTTAGAAGGATGCACAATGGGCCTAATGAGGCCTAAGTACTGTGGGGGTAACCCACCCTCCACACGTTACAGATACAGATATTCTTTGGCCATTTTGTGAAGAATAAGGCAAACTAATAAGAACAAAATTTGCTAAGTTGGCGAAAACAGTAGATTTTATGCCTAAAACAGGAAAACCGAGATAAAAACAGTGGATCTACTTAAAAACAGTAGGTCTGGCAACACTGATAGTTCCCTCGAATGGTTGTCTGCGGTTCCCAAATGTGTGAAGCGTAACGTAAATGCATCTGTCTCCTTTCCCGTCGCTTCTGTTGTTGTCTGTCGCGCGTTCCGAAATGGTACCTTTAAAGGATATGGTCTATGGTCACAAGTCTTACTATCCCAGCGCGGATCCGCTACTTCGTTTTACTTTTTGAGTTTTACTCACGGCAGTACAACAAGATGCTTACAGTAGTAGTGATCGTAGTTAAAGAGTTTTATGTAGTAAATAATTTTATAGTTGATATTTTTTTGCATTTTCAGATGCGAGGAGCTGCGTCACTGTGTCCAATGTCAAGTGTACCAAAGTGGAATTTACGAAAAAACTTGCAAACAAGAGTGTACGGCTTTCGAAACGATAGTTTTACATTCGTTGGAAAGCGACGATATAGACGAAATTAAAAAATGTCGAATACCAGATAACGACACTTGCATTATTAATTTCGAGTACTATTACGAAGGTGACGATACATTGATTGTAAGGGCTTTGGACCGAAAAATATGCCCGGAACCTCCGAATGTCCTAGGTAAACTTGTTACTATTTAGTTATTTTTATCTTTTATAAAGGGGATTCAAAAACTTTATGCTCCACAAGCATTCAATATCCTATAGGATTGTTTATACAATGACTTAGTTGCCAGACCTTAGTATGGGCGAATTTAAAAATGACTATGGTTATAAACGGCTCCGGTTTAAATTCTGTGTAAAATAATAATAGTACGAGGAGCACTGCTAAAGTTCGTGGAAAATATGAAACAAAACACATATTACGTTATGTAAACCACTTTATCCTCCTCAAAATATTTCACTTTTAAAATCTATACAATTTTGTATCAGATGAAGCGAATCTTCAAAACACTTTCCATTCTGAACAAGGTACCTTCGAATTATTGCTTCAACGTATTTTCAGGCGATGAAAAAAGCTCGCCACACACCTTATTATTGCGATAAATGAGGAGAATGTGGACAATAAGTCATTAATTGGATGTTGAATGTTGAGAGTTCGTCGGGCTGTGTGAGCGCTTGCATTATCATGATGAATAATGATTAGCCGTTAGCTGGTTTACGTTGTTTCTTCTGATTTCAGTTATGACTTGAAGTATACAAGTTAGAATTAACTGTTCTTCTATCATCTTAATGCAACAGTTTCGAAACGCTTCGTGAACGCATCACTTTTTTGGATTGGGGTCATTTTGAAACACCCATACAGGCGATTGCTGTTTAGTTTCAGACTAACATGAATATATACAAGATTCGTCACCTTTCACGATGCTATACAGTATGTTAAATTTCCCACAATGATGCCATAATAACGGTATAGAATAAGTGATGCTATTGATTAGGCAGAGGTAGGTATGGCCAGCCCAATCACACAGGCAGGCGGTCAGCCGATTCAAATATAATTAAGCGTCTCATCTTTATTTAGAGAGCTACATGGGTTAACATATTGTATACAGAATTTGAATGACAATCGCCAAACATTTTGAGCATTTCCTTGCAGCACTTGACATATTCCTGTTTTTCGAACCTTACAGTAACACTATCATTAGATCAAAAAATCTGATGTGTCCAGCACATGACTTTCCTGTCTAGTTATTTTAAGGTTTTTTGCTTTAAACGTTCTCTTTCAATAATTTAGTTCCTTTAACTATTATTATTATTATTAAAAAAAAAAAACTAGTTTACTTCACTGAATATATTAAGTTAAAAGTATGTTCCACGCCGGGGATTCCCGGCCTCGACCTGGCTTGATGACTAAATTTGTGGCGGGAGAATAGGCTTTAAATAAAACATTAATTAGAGTAATGCATTCATCCCAACTTACAAATCGTTACGTAAACCATAGCTCAAACAAATGGCCTCCAAGATCACCAGATTTATCGCCGAATGATGTTTTTGTAAGAGTTTTCAAAAAATACCGTGTATCGACATGCTTTTTGAGAGCAACAAATCTTGATAGAGGCAGAAAATTATCCAACACGGTGCAAACAAGTCAGAGATTGTGGGAGCATGAAGGCTTATTTCAATTCGTTAGATTTGTTGTTTTGTAGTTTATTTATTTTATATTTGTATACTTAAGAATTATCTTAGCAGGAGTTGCTGCACTTGAGCCTGTGAAAATTTTAACGACCGCGGGAAAATGTTTTTGGCAATTAGCCCGGGCAAACTAACAAATTTTTGTTTGTTTAACCGCAAAGTACTTATTGTTTAATATTTGAACTTTTTTAGAAATTAAGTTTTTTGCAAGAATATTTTTTTAAGACCGTTATGATAAAAAAAATCACAGAACCAAGTAATTTCATAAAATAATATATTTAATATGTACACTTATTATAACAATAATTTCGTAAATTCAACGGAATGTCGTGAAATAATCTCGTTTAGAAGAGCTAGAAATACATCCCAACTATAAAATTATTTTTGAATCGAGCATGTCACATACGATTTCCCATCTTTGCTGTAAAGCGGCCCTCGCTAATCAGCGGTCTTTGTTACACGCGCGTTCCTATTATACCTAGTCCAATTTATTGTAAAATAGGCAGTTTGCAATTTAAAATTTCCGTACCTGTATAAATCTATAGCTTGCCATTTGCCTTAAATGAACTTGAAAGTTTTGACCACTCTTTTCTTAATACATATCTATTATGTTGTTTATGCCTTTAATCCTATATTATTGGGCTACAAGAAGCCAATTCTTTTCTTTTATTTTTAAAAAAACAAGCCACAAAAATTGTGTACGATCTACCTACACAGCTAATAGCTATGTTCTATAACGCGTACTACCGCTACCGGCACTGTCGCACCAGAAACAATTTGGACACCCTATCGCGTTCAAGATTTTGAGATGGCATGCTTTCACCATCGATGAAAACACAAATATTTTTTACACTGTCAAGCATTGATGGTGCAAGGGTATGATAAACTTTAATATGTATACTTTCATTTAAATCAGTATTTGTATTGCATCTATTGACATTCACAACCATCGCCTATCGATCATCGCACCCTTAGGGTGTGTACATACCGAAAATGGCTCGATGAGTGATGGTGGATGAACGATGTACACCTATAATCAATCTATCACCGACCAACTATATCGCTCGTCGCTTATCGATCATCGCTCATTAAGGCATCTTATGCATATACGTACCCTATGATAGAGTAGAGAATCATTAAATCCTATTTTTAGCATGGACTTTGGGAGTTATAGCAACAATCCTGATAGCCGGACTGATTCTATTGTTAATCTGGAAAGTTTTCACCACAATTCACGATCGAAAGGAATACGCTAAATTTGAAAAAGAAAGGCAGAAACAGAAATGGGGCACAAACGACAACCCTTTGTATAAAGGCGCTACATCGACATTTCCCAATCCCGCTTATCAACGGGCTAGCGTTAGATTTTCGATGAATAGAGAATGAAAAAAATCGTAAAACATATTCGAATATTTTTCTCATTTAAACAAACTAAAAATCTTCGATAATTTTGAGTATATGATTTTTATAATTTCATGGCAAAAGCCACTTGTGTGTTCCCTCTTAAACAATAATAGACTGAATATCAATTTTTATTATTACTGAATCATCTAGTTTTTTTAAATAAATTTATAATTTTCTATAAATAAGACTTTTATGTGTGATTTATTTATCCAAAATATATTTTTCCCCTATCTATATTTCAATCCAAGAGTAAGGGAGCAGAGAGGAATGGGAGCCAGTGGGCAATGTGGCTCGCTCTAATATATTATCGACATTGAAACAGAATCTGTGTCTGTGCGAACCATTCGGATTACACTGTCACATGCAAATTCAATGAGCAGTAAGTATTACCAATTCGATTGTTATACTCTTCACACAGTATTCTGTGAAGAGTATTATAGGTTTACTTTCGAGAAACAAAATTTTTTAATGTTGATCCAAATTTAAAAATGTGGATGTCGGCAACTTATATGTGTTCTAATGGCTGAATGGTTAAGGCAGTGTGCGAAGAATTTTTCAATGATTGTTCTACGAATTCTCTTCATTCCAAACCGGTACGATATAAAAAATTTCAATCGGAAAATTTGGAGTTTGCTGCTTTTGATATTAGACCCCTGAATTATCACTGTTAAAATAAAAACAAAATAAAGATAATAAAGATGATTGCCATTTTTTAAACAATTGTTCATAAATATATAATAAAATAAATTATGACAATTTATACACTGTTTGACAAGTTTTTGACGCAAACTAGACTTGCGTGTGTAAACTCAAATTACAAAATATAAAAATTAAACAACAATATTCCGCGATTTCTGTCGCATTTAGCATAGAAAAGATGGTAAAAATGAAAGACTTTAAATATCAAAATAATTTATTCTATTTACAATTCTCAATAATTCTTCATTATTACCTAATTTAATTAAAAAATAAGATTTCTACAAAAAATGTACTATAGTACGTACTAGGCGAATTAGCTCATATAATTAGTAGTACCATTACATTTGTTTTTAAAACATCAATAATTTAATTTCAACTAAAATACTGGGAACTTAAAGTACCGTTTTTTCAGGACGGTTAAGTCTTAAAAATAACTGGAGACGTATTGTCATGAACAAGGGGCATTTCTTAATATTTTTACCTACAACCACTATGGAAAGCAGACAAAAACACGATCTATAGGCGCAGTAAATACCTTATTATGTATAGTAAACAAATCACACCTAAATAAAACGCAGGGTAATCAAAATGCATGGTAAACGAAACGCGCAGTAAACAAAACACGCAGAATATATTATACAAGTATTTATAGGCATCCTCAGTTCAAAAAAGAAAATTTGTTAAAAATTAGATATTTCTACAAAATTATTAAAAATATCGAAAAATTACCAGTTCAAACGTGAAACAACATAGAAGTGTCTTGTCATAATAATAAACATCGATATTTCTTTTTATAACCTCCACATCTTCGTTCAAAACACAAAATAAACTAAATGTTTCAAAATATCATTATTTTAATGTTCCTTTTTTGAAATGAAGTAACAAATAAGTGAATATTTTAGTTAAGTAAGTGGTCGTAGCAATTACCCGCTCATGGAATGACATAGGTACTGGCCGCTACGCGGCTTTGTGCATAATATGCATTTTACAATACTTATTACACAATATAATATTAATCCTGCTTCAACCATGTGCCATATGGGTTGTGGTACACTTTTGAAAGGTGGGAAACAAGTCTTATCTACTGTGGTTTTTAAACTATTTTTTTTCAGTAATAGCTAGTTATGAATTTGCTACAATTATTATAGGCACTATAATCAATAGGTTTGTTCCAACATAAACCAAATCAATTTACATACTGTCGGGAATCTGTGCAGTCTAGAATTCGTGTTCCAACAAGCTTCAGACTCAAAACTGTATGAAAACCTTGTATTCCAACACAACCACCCAGACAACACACCAAATCCCAAAGATATCCACAGAATATCTTTTGTGGATATCCAATATATCCACAGGATATCAGAAATATTCCGTGGATCTAATATGGATATCCAAATGTCCGTCTATATCCAGAATATAGAAGATATCCTATGGATATTAAGCAAAATATCTAATTAGTATCTTCCAGACAATACAAGAAATCCCAGAGATATCCACAGAATATATTTTGTGGATATCCAAATATGGATATCCAACCAAATGTCCGTCTATATCCCAGGATATAGAATTCAGATATTCAGCAAAATATTTTATAGGTATCTTTAATACACATTCATAAGTAACCAAATGATTATTGAATAACGTCGAAAGAAAATAGAGATAAAAAATATTTACAACAATCTGCCTTTGAGTTTGCCCACTAAGACAAAAGTAATCCTTATTAGGACTCTTCAGCAATAAATGGAAATTCTCAACTCTAGTCTCTAATAGAGTCTTAATGCCAAATTTTTTTCGATCAACTCAATTATGGCGGGTTGAGCATGAGTAGATACGAAAGTGGTATCGCCATCTATACTTAGGAAGCAAAATCAAAAATTACATCTAGTAGATATCCACGATGGTTTGCGTCCGCGCTAAGACTTTGATATATGTGGATGTCCATGGGATATTGAATACACCTTAAAAAAATTAATTTTAAATATCTGAACGGTACTATTAGCCACAATGGCGAGCACAATGGCGTAATTTTTTAATAATTTGCTATATAATTACTATTATTTATGGACATTTGCATATCTATAAATTACATTTTATGGATATAAAATAGATATCCACCATAGACTGGACATTCAGTGGATATTGGGATGTTCAGTAGATATCCAAAGGATTTGGTGTGCTGTCTGGGCAAAACTCATCACACACCTATTTGTGTAATGTCAAATCAATTCCTGGTTCTGAAAAGGAACGAATTGTCAAGACAGGAGCAAAGCCGCAATAACCTGATCATATCGTCTCTGACAGCTCTGATTTATATTTGTCAATCGAGTTTAGTTTTCATAGCTATTGTTCATTAACATTTATTTTATTTTGTGGTTTATTATTGTAATAGTGCATCTGTTGAATTTAATAAAAATGTGTTCCAATACAACCGAGTTCCGAGTTGATCCCAATCCCGACAGGTTTAGTGATGAGCGATATTTCAGGAACTGTTTTTCGGTGATATTAAAAAGTATCAGGTGACGACTGTTACTAAAGTTGTTACCAAACTGTGACTGTGATTTTTTCGTTTCCGTCTTCTCGTCATTTTGCAATCATTTGTTCGAACATTGGAATATTCAGTAATATTTTACAGATTTCTCAAAACCACCAACAAGATATTATTGAAAGGTCAATCATTAATCGAAAGATGGTGCTGTAGGATAAACACAAAATTCTAATTTTAATAAATTATTAGTCATTGAATGATAATATATCTCATTTTTTAAATTATTATATTCCAAATAGTTCCTTAAATTCATTCATAAGGTTTATATTTCATAAATAGTTTGACGTGCGCCTACAATCGATCTTGTTCCTATTATAACACATTAGATGTACAGACTTACAGAATACATATCAGTATCAGTAGAACAAGTCATTTCAAACCGTGATCACGTCGCAACTTAAAATAAGTGATATTTATAAACCCCAGTAACAAATAACGCTGTTTCTAAAAAATAAAGATATTGCTAATCACTAGACATGTTGTCAATTACTATTTGTCGACAGATTATGTATGGTTCCAAGATCGTTGTTGGAACAAACTTAATAAAGAAGTAGCAGTAATAACTAGAAAAAGAAATTCATATTCTTAGCTCAAAAACAAAGTAGGTAAGTAATGCTAGTAGTATTGAAAAAAATATCAAAGACGGCTGCTAATAATAATTAGAAGTGAAAAATACATTTTTTTTTATAAAAGAACAGATTTAAAGCTGGATTTATAAGCTATGTTCAGTTGGCGTTCAGTTTATACTACGCTCGCGTTTTACTCAATTTATAAATTCGTTGGCGGTTGTTTATTCGTCGCTGCGAATGTTGACGTTTGATTTGACAAGACATAACAACATTCTCTACAAAATAAATTATATTTCGTTGTTATTTTGTTTTAATTATATTTGTAGATGGTGTTGGTTATAAAATAATTATAAATCCGTTATAATTTCGTACCCAAAACAAATATACCATGTCGTTTTATGATCGCTTTGACGCATGCGTGGTGAAATAACCAAATACGTGTTTTCCATTGGCTCGACTTCGCGTCAAACGTTGGAACAGCGAACAAAAAAGTTGGTCATCTCTCAGCGTCAACTGAATTCGAACTGAGCGCGAACGTCAACGATCGAAGTGTATAAATTACTACGCACGTTCTGCTTTGTTTATGTTGAACTCGAACTGAACGCGAACTCAACGAAATTTATAAATCCAGATTCAATACGACAAGATATTTGATACTTAATGTTAAAATATTTGAAATTATTTCCTATTTAAAAGTCTAATTCATATTTATTTAGCCTCAATTACAAAACAACTTAAAGCTATCCCGAAATGGTACTTCCATAAAATTATCACATCGTATTAGAATTTATCACATTCAATCCGCTTCTCCTTCTGCCACAATGCTAGGGAGTAAACATTCCAGCCGTCTGTACCAAACACTTACAACCGCACCCAGTCAGACACACGTCACTTAAAGAAAGCCACCACTTTAGGCATTTTGTATGCCCGGCGTGACCGCACAGGACACAGGCGTTAGCAGAACCTCTCACTGAGAGATGACAGACGATGCATTTTAAAGTCACTTTCTTACAAGAGCTGCAATTGCCGAATTTGGCTGGTTTCATGCAATCTTTGCAGTCGCTGATGAACTCTACACCTTTGTGCGTTTCTGGGGTTTTGCACATGTACTTCAGGACCTCAGTTCTGTGATAAATCAGCCCCCATCTGTGCAGAGTGTCGGCGTATGCAAGCTTATAGTATTCGTAGAGAGAATTTGGTATAATTTTGATGGGAGCATGATGTAATTTAATGGTGCATTCTATGGTGAGGTTGTCTAATGAGGTGGACCTAGTGGTACGAAGCATTGGCAACACCCATCCGTCTGCTACGATATCTGCTGGTGGTATTGTGTGGTATGGTGATCCTTCCGACTAAAATACATTTTTGTTTGATTGTTTTAATGTTAAATATGTGACAAAATATTACATGTGACAAAATGACGTATCATATAGTTTCAATAAATAAACTTTGAAAATTAAACTTTTCAAAATAGACAGATGTATCTACATAAAAGACTAGTTCTGTAATTTTATTGCCGTGCAGAATATTAAATATTTCTAAATAATGTAGCAACTGAAATAAAAAAAAAATGCAAAAGACGTCACAATATCTGAAATACGACCATAAGCCCCAACACCAACTAAACAGCTCCCAAGCACCACATTTATTAATTAAATTTAAACTAAATTACCTTAAACCACTTTTTTCCAGGTACTAGTTGCTATAAAAGATAGATAAATGAGTAAGTATGAAAAATGCATCATATTATGTTAAAGTTCATAGGAAAACAATGCCGTGTTTAATATAAATTAAAGCCTTCCATCTCCTTAGGACAACATGCTTTAGATCCCAAAAGCAGCCTTTAACTACTGTCTAATTGATTAATGATGTATTCAGCAATAATCGAATTAGTTTAACAAGATATTATAAAAATGTCATGATACTAATAATTGTATAAAATTCATGAAAATTTAGAATAAACATATCATAAAAATTTTGCATAAATCTTTCACTCACCACTGGAGATAATAGAGATTTCAAAGAAGCCTTCCTAGTAAATATGTCATGTTCTTTGCCGAAAATACAACAGAGCATAGCTGCCATTTGAATGTCATGTTGTATAGCATAATGGCCAATTCTGAAAGATATTTTATTTTTACAAACTAATAAAAACTTTTAACCATAAGCACTAATGAGAACGATTACTTACAGGGACTCCATCAATTTATTGCCAAATGGATGATTGTTCCACGAATTCTCTTCATCAGCTTGCTCAGGTCCTGCAACCAATTCAGCCAGTGTCCAAGCTTGAACCAAGTCCCATCGACCTACCACAGCTGATGCAGCTGCATTATGTTTACATATAGTACCCACATCTCCATCCAAAATATATTCTTCGGCAAGCTGTCTATTCACAAAAAATAAACCCAATACATCATAGATGTGTACAACTGCTTTCGTGAATTTTGAGTAGTTATGTTTAACTCTGGATCTCTGCCTTTGGTAGTAAAAACCTGAGACTGTCATATAATCGTCATTTCTTTTAGAATAAATGTTTTCTAATGCAGACAGGGCTCTTGGGGTTGAAGACAACCCTCTTGGGGCTATATCAATTTTCATAGATAATCTTCTGGGATTTACATGTCTTCCAAAACAAACCAGCATACCAACAGAGCAAAATTTCGCTCCAGAAGTCCTAGGAAATGGTATGTAAGCATCATTATAACCTGCAAATAGGCTAGAGGGTTCTAAGTATGGCCTGTTGTATATCCTATTATTCTCAGTATCGCTTGAAAGTTGTTCTAGGGTTGTTACCATCTGTCTAAGACATGGTTCCAAGCAAGTCCGGTTTTTCGAGACCCTCTGCTGTGCTAAATGTTTTAACATTTGCAGGAGTTGGATTATTATTGATTCATTAACATTAGACCCTTCTTTTATGACCTCGAATCCAGGAGGCACTCCATGGGGATAAGCACTAGGAAAGCTAACCTTTAGCACGACTATAAAATTGTTAATAGTAGCTTTAACTAGGACATTCCTAGCAACTGGATCCATTTTTAAAATAATAAGATTTGGTATCAGTACGTTAAGCAAAGAGAATTCTTGCTGGAGTGGTTGTACCCTGGGAGAGGTTTTCTTGAAAAATCTCAAGTTTTCTGCACCATAAATTTCATTACTATCTTTCGATTCAACTGGTTCGTAACCACATAATTTTTGAATAAAAGGTTCTATTCTCCAAACTAGTAATGTTTGATCTTTTGACCAGGTTACTAATTGAAAGTCCGTATCGCCAGGTCTCTGTTTTCGCCATTCAAATTCTAGAACTACATCTCTATGACCAACAAAAGTGTGCATTGGGGTAGCTCGATTGGCTGTATTCCATAGCAAAAGGCTATTTTCACCTGTAACATTGATAAAATCACAATGGAAAATTCACAATTTCTTTTTTTTATGTTGTACTACTAGACCTACCGAACAACAGAGTCCATGGAACCAACTCTGTCCCTATGATTAGTTATTGATATACGGAGTGGCCCAAAAGTCTGGAAACCGCCAATTATCTCGTAAATTGCTAATCCTAATTGTACAAAATTTGGGGTACACCTATTATGGGATACGGAGATTCCAGATTTAATATTTGCAAAGTAACTAATAATTTAAGAGAAACGGCAAATCTGGCAACATTGCAAATATCAAATCTGGAATCACCGTATCCCAAAATGTACCCCAAATTTTGTACAATTAGGACTAGCAATTTACGAGATAATTGGCCGTTTCCAGACTTTTTGGCCACTGTGTATATGGTGCTGAAATTGCAAATTGGACATTTTTTAAAAAGCCCTCAATTCTTAACAAAATAATTAGATATTTTCCAAGAATAAATGCTCTTTATTGATATCAAACAATATTTCCAGCATAGTTACAGAGTGAGTCAAATTACTAAAAATGGAATTTGAATGTTTATTTCAAAATTAACACAACCTCGGTTTAATAACTCAAAATTATAGGCTATCATACAGGGTGAGTCAAAAACTCATAAGGATAATTTTACATCACAAGAACATGTTTGGATGCAGTTTTATGAACAATTTAAGGAAATCGGATTTTTGTTATTTTAATAAATATACCAACACTTAATATTAATCACATTATTTTCATCAAAAAGGTCATTCCAAATACCTACACTTCGTTTTTCTGTGAATTATATATATTTATTAAATATGTGACATATTTACTGATCTGGGGCATTTATTCAATTCCTTAATTTGCACTGGTACAACTCGCTTGCATTAGCTCGAGTAAAAAGAAATGTATGCGAGACCAATAATTTGTTTACAGGAGATTGTACTGTATTTTGTTGTAATTTTTCTTTTATTTAATTTTTATCAAAAATGGAACAATGTTTTGTGTCAACTGATTTAATTAATAATCTTACACTAGTGAATTATTTTGTGAACCATGAATTTTAGGAATTAACTCTAAACTGTTTTTTTTTTTTTTCGATTTATGGCCTAGGTGTATAAACCTAATATGCCAGTCTCAGTTTGAATTTAAATTCTCAATCATGTGTGTTCTGTGTAGGCTTTGTTACTGTTTCCCAGCGCCACTTCAGGAACAGCACTGATAATTAGAACCCAACAGTGAATGGTCGAGTGGGAAATCCTACCAAGGCATCAGAATTAATTTTAAATAATTAAATTAAATAAAAAAATCCCGGTCAACGGTGGGATTCGAACCTGGGACCCTTGGATCCACAGGCCACCCCCCTCTAAACTGTTGAAATCTGTAATAGGGACCATGGGTGAAATATAGAGCCTCTCTCTAGTGTTTAATTTTAGACTTAAATGGGGGTAAACATTTCAAGTAAATAATTAAGGATATTTTTTAAAATATTAAATATTGATACCGGCCAGTAACAATCGTGTACATGGTTAAAATGATATAAAATGTGAAAAATTATTTAAAAACTGGACATGTGTATAAATTTTGAGGAAAAAGGTTTACAAATATTGTTTTTAGCTTGATGTTAGTTGAAATGTCATTCATACACCCAATGATATACATAATTATATAGATTGTTCACCCACTGCCATATTGCCTTTCCCAGTACCCATTGAATATTGAATAGAGCCGTTCTAGCCCAAATGTGTTTTAAAATAAAATTTCAGCATTTGAATCTTTAGAAAAAGAAAATAATTTAATTTTTACTTCAATACATGATATGTTAAGTATTTTGAAAGTTGAGTGTCCATGTAGTTAAATAATATTAAGAAATCTAAATAATGTTTACAACAGATGCATGTAAATAATTTTAGACCACTCTCGTTCCAGAAATAAAATTAATTAATAATTGTCATTTTTGAAAATTCAGTCCAATAGGCTATCGACCGAAGTCCTTCTGCCTATTGTAGTGCATACAAATGGAGTTCAGAAATAACACTATATAAAACACATAATTGAAATATGTAATACAACCTTGAAAAGGTAATGTAATCAACTTTAATATGAGATATAAGAAACTTTGGTAAGAGATGTTATTGGACACTTATCTATGATTCGGAGTAATGTTTAATGGTAATGTTCTAAAATTTTACAAAAAATCACTAGATTTTAAATATTTTAAAGTTTGTTGCAATCTCTTTTGATAGTGATTGCAATGTCTTAATTATGGTTTGTTTATTTTAGTGATAAATGAGAATTAGTCAATAAATAGTAAATAGAACCATGATATTTTTGTCAAATTGGACATTCTAATTTTATAGTAACACCCTTCATTAGTTTTAATTAATAAAATAAACCATTAATTTACTTATCTGTAAAATTATATTTATATAAAATACATTTTTAAATATTCAAAAATAAACAATAAAGATTCTAATTTCTGAACCAGTTCTGTAAATGATTTGTTTACAACTGAGTGCTCAAAATTGATACAAAACATGTATTAGATAAAAAGAAAACTTTGCCCAGTGAAATATGCTTTTCTTCGTCTGATTTACATTTGGATAAGCAATCTATGTAACTATGTATATTATTGGGTGTGAGACACCAAGTGTGCTATTTGGAAATTTATAAAATTTCTTTACTAACGAATCAAATTCATGTTTCCGAAGTGATGTGTATTTTTCGACGATATTACAAAAATAATTCGAATTTATTTAATTAATAAAATTATTAAACAATAAATGAATAAAAATTTAATAATTAATAATAATAATTGTCATTTATTGAACTGAAAATTCAGTCCAATAGGCTCTCGACCGAAGTCCTTCTGCCTGTTTAATAAATCCCTCCCATAAAGTTCACATTTTTGTCACCAGTTGGCGTTAATGTCATGACGCACGAGTCCCTATAATTGCATAGCATTGTGCACTCATGAATCATGGTGACAGTGACAGCTTACAGAAATGATAGTGTTGGTGCAATGAACTTCGAGAACCAGTACTGTGTGCTGCATTTTCATATACATTGCACTACTTTGTTGATAGAAGTTAAGTTGAAGCTGAGACACAGTTAGTTTAAAATAGACATTCGAATTGTTAAATAAATTACATTTATAAGTGTGATTAGTGCTGATAAATATTTAAGTATAAATTAGTTAGTATTTTAGTGTAAATAAATTATAAATAAACTGTTATAAATAATAAACTATTTTACAAATATAGGCTACAGAATTGTCAGAATCATATTATTTTGTTTTTCAAGATTTATGTTTAATTTCTATATTTAGTTATTTGCCTTTTTTTTCACGAATTTTTTTTATTTTTCTTTTATTTACCAAAAAAATGGTATTCCCTGTCTGGAAACTGGAATGTTATTGTTATAATTTTTTGAGGAATTTTTCATTTACATTTTGGAATATTAAGCTAAACTTTTGTTCCTGTTTTTTTTTATTAAAAAGATTTCAAATTCTGTTCATTAAATGTAAGTGTATTAGGCCGAATGAGAAACAACAAAAAACATACCCCTGTGGAGATGAGGAAACAAGTTTAACACTTCATATCTTTCATTAATAGGTTTTATACCTCATATTTCCAAAAACTAGTCACAGCAAGTTGATATAACTTTTACACTTTACTAATAGATTTAAAAAAATTAAGGTGATATAATAAAATAATCATTTTAAGTGAAGACATTTTAATATTTACCTCTCCTCAGCTGTGGTACAACAGCAGTAACCAAACCATTGCCAAAAGGTGTATATCTAGCCCTCCATACTGGAGCAGTTGTAGGCAGTATGCATTCAGCCCTTCTTGGATTAGTTGTGTCAAAAAATTTAACAGTATGATCCTGACTAGAAGAACAAATATAACTTTCTGAAGTTGGACTCCAATCTAATCCATGAATTTTAGACAAATGGGCAGATATATACTGCACAGGTGCAGTACCCTTCCTTTGGTCCCAAATTTTTATATCTCCTTCATGGGAAGTAGCTAATAAATGTGAAGAAACCTTATTCCATCGTACCTGTGATGCTTCTGCTATGGCTGAGAGAGACAATGTAGGACGGCGGGAGTCCCTCAAGTCCCACAAATGAATAAAAGTATCTACAGAACATGAAGCTAAAAGGTTTGGATCAAACTTATGCCAATTTAAGTCAGTTATTACTCTTGTGTGGGCACGAACTGAAAACGTTTGGATCAATTCGTCCATTCTCCATGTTAAAACTTCCAGTCGTTGATTGCTCTATGATAAAAACAAACAAAAATACTTATATTCACTTTAAAAAATGAATCTTATATATTCGTACCGAGATAACGCATAATTCTTTATGATAATTGGTGGGATTCCATTCTGCAGCTCCAACTTCGTATTTACTTTGCCTTGGGAATTTTTGTACAACAGAATCAATGTTACTATCAATTATGTCTAAATTTCTTAAGGCTAAAAATCTTCTTCTACAAAAAAAAAATAGTTCAAATAACCTTTACTTTTAAATAAGCATTAATTCATACCCAGCTAATAAAACGAAATTTCCTGTAGAATCGATTGCCATAGCATTAGCTTGCAAGTCTTTACATTCTAAAGCAATGTAATAATCACTATTCCACTTTGGAGACATTTTATTATTTATTTCCTAATCGGCACTATTTACAAAATTATACCAGTATTCTTTTTTGATTTAGGAACGACGAGGCCGAGATGCCGATGAAATATACAAATTTTTGAAGATATTATCCACAACATTGCATATTTACTGAAAAAAAAAACAAAACATTAAACATAACCCTATTCTTTACTTTATACGACGCTAATATATAGTTATTCAGCCAAAAGTAATGAATTAACAATGAACTAAAAATGCATGTTTGCCAAAAAAAGGAGGGATAATGTATGCTTTTTATGGTTCATGGTACGTATGTGATAGTATTAGGCATTCCAAACTGAATGGCTACCAGTGGGTTTTGACGGGGTATGATATGGCAAAATTATGGCAACCCTGTAGGCCTGGTGATTTGACAAGATCAATGAAATAGATAGTTACATAGATTGATCATCCATATTTTTCAAAATAAACATAAGCTTATGCCTTAAAGTAAAAATATAAGCAATTATTTTTTTTAATTACCTAAAGGCAAAAAATTGGTTTTAAAACACATTTTTGCTAAACCGATTCAAATTAATAAATATTTACCAGACAATATGGCCGCTCGTAAACGACCAGCTTTGAGCAATCTATATAACTATATATGTATCATTGGCCCTGTTAATGACAACATGACAACAGGGTTGCCATATCTAAACTGTCATTACCCACTGGTAGCCATTTGGACAGGTCGTTGGAATGCCTAATTATAGATTAGAGTTAGGTAGAGTGATTTAATATTTAAGCATAGTAATGTATTTTTATGTATTTTTATGCATTTTTATGCATTTTTATGTATTTTTATGTATTTTTATGTATTTTTATGTATTTTTATGTATTTTTATGTATTTTTATGTATTTTTATGTATTTTTATGTATTTTTATGTATTTTTATGTATTTTTATGTATTTTTATGTATTTTTATGTATTTTTATGTATTTTTATGTATTTTTATGTATTTTTATGTATTTTTATGTATTTTTATGTATTTTTATGTATTTTTATGTATTTTTATGTATTTTTATGTATTTTTATGTATTTTTATGTATTTTTATGTATTTTTATGTATTTTTATGTATTTTTATGTATTTTTATGTATTTTTATGTATTTTTATGTATTTTTATGTATTTTTATGTATTTTTATGTATTTTTATGTATTTTTATGTATTTTTATGTATTTTTATGTATTTTTATGTATTTTTATGTATTTTTATGTATTTTTATGTATTTTTATGTATTTTTATGTATTTTTATGTATTTTTATGTATTTTTATGTATTTTTATGTATTTTTATTATTTTTTATGTATTTTTATGTATTTTTATGTATTTTTATGTATTTTTATGTATTTTTATGTATTTTTATGTATTTTTATGTATTTTTATGTATTTTTATGTATTTTTATGTATTTTTATGTATTTTTATGTATTTTTATGTATTTTTATGTATTTTTATGTATTTTTATGTATTTTTATGTATTTTTATGTATTTTTATGTATTTTTATGTATTTTTATGTATTTTTATGTATTTTTATGTATTTTTATGTATTTTTATGTATTTTTATGTATTTTTATGTATTTTTATGTATTTTTTATGTATTTTTATGTATTTTTATGTATTTTTATGTATTTTTATGTATTTTTATGTATTTTTATGTATTTTTATGTATTTTTATGTATTTTTATTTATCTTCATTTATTTTATTTATCTTTATTTATTTTTATTTATTTTTATGTATTTTTATGTATTTTTATGTATTTTTATGTATTTTTATGTATTTTTATTTATTTTTATGTATTTTTATGTATTTTTATGTATTTTTTTATATTTTTATGTATTTTTATGTATTTTTATGTATTTTTATTTATCTTTATTTATTTTTATTTGTCTTCATTTATTTTTATTTATTTTTATTTATTTTTATTTATTTTTATTTATTTTTATTTATTTTTATTTATTTTTATTTATTTTTATTTATTTTTATTTATTTTTATTTATTTTTATTTATTATTATTTATTTTTATTTATTTTTATTTATTTTTATTTATTTTTATTTATTTTTATTTATTTTTATTTATTTTTATTTATTTTTATTTATTTTTATTTATTTTTATTTATTTTTATTTATTTTTATTTATTTTTATTTATTTTTATTTATTTTTATTTATTTTTATTTATTTTTATTTATTTTTATTTATTTTTATTTATTTTTATTTATTTTTATTTATTTTTATTTATTTTTATTTATTTTTATTTATTTTTATTTATTTTTATTTATTTTTATTTATTTATTTTTATTTATTTTTATTTATTTTTATTTATTTTTATTTATTTTTATTTATTTTTATTTATTTTTATTTATTTTTATTTATTTTTATTTATTTTTATTTATTTTTATTTATTTTTATTTATTTTTATTTATTTTTATTTATTTTTATTTATTTTTATTTATTTTTATTTATTTTTATTTTTAATTATTTTATTTATTTTAGTTTTACTTTTTTTTATTATTTTTTAATATTTATTTATTTTTATTTATTTATTCCCCTCCCCCTTAAAATGTGAAAATTCAAAACCCTGAAACACGTCATTATTTATTTATGATGAGTAGATACAATTCCAATTTTCAAGTTCCTACTTTTAAAAAACCGATACCTCCATACAAACTTTTGCCCTGTTTACCCCCTTAAAATGTAAAAATTCAAAAACCCTGAAATAGGTCATTATTTATTTATGTTAAAAAAATCGATACTCCCTACAAACCTTCACCCCCATTTTCTCCCTAAAAATGTAGAAATTCTAAAATCCTGAATTACGTCATTATTTATTTTTGATGAGTAGCTACAATTCCAATGTTCGAGATCCTACCATCAAAAAATTCGATACCTCCATACAAACTTTCACCCTCCGGGGCAAACGGATTAAATTCTAATGGCTGTTTTGTCCTCAACAAGACTTTGAAGTCTTTAGAACCCAATTTTAAATAAAGTAGGTAGTGCAAGATCAGCTCTGGCCGTAATATATCCTATACTGAAAATTATTACACTTGTGACGCGATGTCGTCTCTGTTCTTTGTTTACTCCTTGCCCGTGGTATGAAGTCTAGCGCTGGCCATATAGAGACAAATGCGCCGCTTCGAGAAGCTACCGCATAGAAGGCATGTGGCGTCTGAGTCATAAAGAGGGAATTCCCGAACGTTCTGGAAGGCCGAGAGTGTTCTGGTACAGGGGTAGTATTCTGGAATCACGAATATAGATTCGCATGTGAGATTTATGATTTGTCTCACTTGGTTTTCGTTCAACAAAGTGAGACACATTGTAAAACACGTATGCGAATGTCGGTATTCGTGATTCGAGAATACTACCCCAGAGCTGGCTTTATATAAATAGCGCGAGTTTGTTCACGGACGGGAAGATTCAATTTAGATAGAAAAGACAAATTGTAATAAATAAATGAGAAAATTGTGAGTTATAATAGTGCCTAAGTATTATATAAATTAATTAGTAAGTTATGAATAAATTATAAATAAACTATAAATAAAGTAAACAAACGTTACACACTGTTAAAAGATTTTTAAAACAGTGCGCAATACTTGCCTCCAGCTCCAAGATACGAGTTGACCTCTGGAACCTGAATAATAAATTATTTAAGTACTCAATATTCTAATTAAACATTAGTCTTAAATTGTTAACTATGAAGCTGGTAACCTTAATTACAGGTCATCGTATTCAAACACTTTCTGTTATAAAAAATCAGATATGAGTTGAAAACGAAAGCTCAAATAGAAATAGAATTCAACCAATTTTGTACATTCTATTTATCCCCAGTAGACCAGAAGCTTTTGGAGCACCAACTTTGAGGTTTTATACGCAGGAGGCAAGTATACTCTGCGAAGCGCAGAAATATCTTATTATTTTTTATAAGCTTTAAAACGTCTCGTCTAAAAGCTATTCAAGCACGATTCGCTCACAGTGGGGTCTATTCTGTAACAATTTCTTTATATTTAACGGCCTTTAAAAATATTTTCTTCTTTACTACTGTCATTATTTAAACGGATCTTTAAAATACATTAGAGTACTATCTTAAAGAAATCTGTTTAAATAATGACAGAAGTAAATTAACGAATACAAATATACTTTTAAAGGCCGCCAATATTTTTAAAGGCCGTTAAATATAAAGGAATTTTTACAGAATAGACCCCAGTGTCGCTCATAGTCGCAGCACACAGCAATCGGCACGTTGCTACCTCTGCAGAGAGTGGGAATGGCAGAAAAGCTGCAGGCTGGAACCATAATCCATCGCCCTTTGATATCTTTTGTAACCGTGGATTCAGGCAGTTATTTTACCAAATCTATTTTAATTTAAAATTAATGTCGTTTTAGTTAAAGTTTTGTTAAAATGCTAGTTTTAGTAACACCATGAATATTTTTCTTTTTACTCTTTATTTTATGTGAAATAAAAAAATTAAATCTTTAAATTTCAACCTATACTCTGTTGAAAACGAACTTGTCTAAAACCCGCAGATGATCATTTTATACCCTCCTTGCCAGCCTTATCAAATTGCAGTAGCTTCACTAAGAAAAGTATGAAAGATGTCATCAAGTCCGGCAGCCCATGGACCATGCCATGTTTTACGCCTGTAATGAATGTATTTCTTGGGTTCACCTTTATAGTCCAGGATCCGTAAATAAGGTCGACCTTCACCCATATGTTTAATGGATAAAAGTTTTTTTTTATTAAATAAAATATGTTTTTAAATATACCGCACGGCTATTTTCTACTTTACTTTCTGTGTACAGATAAGGAAATTATAAGAATCATGATAAAAGGTGCTTATGATGTCATTATTCTCTATTATTTTGTCCCTATACATGATTTCCCTAAAATGGACCTAATTCGAGATATTTGAGGAAAAATGCAAATTTCGAATTTTGAAGATAACTTAAAAACGGGTGAAGAGAAAAATACCAAATTTCAAACTTAAGCTTTAATCTATCCTGCGGTAAACTGATTAAAGTTTGGGCATAGTCGAAGAATCTGGGGAATACTTTTACAAGGTGTCGTTTTTTTTTGCTTCAAGAAAGTAAATAGTCTGGACCGTATTTTCTTAGGCAACCCATTTGCGGTATATTTATAAACATATTTTATTTAATAAAATCCTACTTCAGGCAAAGCGTTTCGTTTAATTAAGATCTAACTTCACTTATTATAGGGCCGATTCCACCGTTTTGTTGAAAGAAGTTTAAATTACTAAGCGAAGTTCGTTTAGTAATTTAAACTTCGTTTGACATAAACGGTGGCATCTGTCCTTAGGTAAATAGTAGGTACCCCAGTATAGGTATAATACTATTAATATGTATGGTATGCGCTGTAGGGTTGCTACATTTCTGAAAGTGAAAAGCGTGACAACCGTGACGATAGAGCATTTTTATATAATCAGTTCCATTTTATGTGAACATTTCTAAAAAAAAAAAAGATTCCTCAGCTTATTTTTCGTAAAAACGAGGGTTTTTACCCGGACATTTGTCTATTTTTGTATAAATCCGGTTCCTCTGCGACTTTAAAAAAGGGTGGCTTTTGCATAAAAAGCGTACAAGCAAGTCAAAAAGCGTGGCAAATACGCCAAAAGCGTGACATCTGGCAACCCTATGCGCCAACCATATGGGCAAGGTCGTATAGCGCACATTGGCGCCAATCACCGAACTTCTATAGTTCGGTGGCGCCAATACATAAATAAATGCGCCTGATAACATAAATTAAAAAAACGTCATTTGAAAATTCACAACAAATTTACAGAAAAAAAAAACAAACCTAGTACACCAAAAATAGTTGTTTTACTACTTTATTCCCTCCCAATAGCAATAGACACATATTCCATACAGAAAAAAACATTTCTTGTAATTTTCAAGTCTGAATAAGTTCATTTATTTGAATTATTGACATAAAACCATTGTATAACCAGTAGGAGTAGTCTAGTAGATGAAATAATCCATTTTATCTGGAAATAAGTTTTAGTACAGAATCCGTAAGTAAGGTCGACCTTCACCTATCTGTTTAATGGATTAAAGTGTTTTTTTTATCAAATAAAATATGTTTATAAATAAACTGCAAATGGGTTGTTTAAGAAAATACGGTCACGGCCATGTTTTACTTGCCTTTTCTGTATACAGATAAGGAAAGTATAGGAATCATGATAAAAATTGCTTGTGATGTCATTCTCTATAATTTTGTCTCTATACATGATTTCCCTAAAATTGACCTAATTCGAGATATTTGAGGAAAAATGCAAATTTCGAATTTTGAAGATAACTCAAAAACGGATGAAGAGAGGAACATCAAATTTTAAACTTTAGCTTTAATCCATCCTGCGGTGAGCTGATTGAAGTTTGGACACAGTCGACGCATCTGGAGAAATTTTACAGGGTGTAGTTTTTTTAACTTTAATAAAATAAATAGTATTTTCTTAGGCACATATTTTATTTAATAATAAGAAACTTTCATCCCTTAAACATATGTGTGAAGGTCGACATTACTTCGGATCTTAGACCATTTAAAAATATTAAGAAGTTGCACCTATAAAATAATGTCTTATGAATAAATTATTAGGTATATATTTTATAGGCCGTTAAAAACACTTATTAAATGGTATTCCGTCTGTTACAGAACACGTTGTTGCCGTGTTTATGATTTTTTTTAGATAAAAACAAATAAATATATATGTTCAAAAAAGGTAAATCAAACGAGGGTGGTCCTTAGAATCTCACAAGAGTGAGATCCTAAGGACCACCCTCGTTTGATTTACCTTTTTTGAACTTATAACTCACACATGGCTACCACCTTCAACTTTAAAAAATATATATGTATTTAAATATGTTTATTGTGTATTTTTCATTCAAAATGATTAAAAAAATATTCTTTTCAAATTTTAAACAAACCGCTTTTATCAATCGGTTTGTTTTCGTGGTTTTCCAAATAGGTATATAAAAACGTTTTCGTAGAAACTAAAAAATGTAATCGATAAAATTTGGAGGACTCATAATAAGAAATGTGCATAAAGGATAAAAATACATTACATAATTTTCATATTATCTCCTAACTTTTATACTGTCTTTGTCATAAAAACTGTTGAATTTAGAAATCACATTCATTTAGGTTTCCGTACATTTATAAACTGCATTTGACCACTCTATATATAGCCGTGGCCATAATACATATTCTACAATACATATATTTATACAATGACAATACTGTTGAATTTTGTGACAGATATTGTAAGTAGTTTTAGTGAAAGTCATCACGAGGCACTTTTGAACGTTGAGTTTCATACCTTATATTTGTCAGTATTTTTGTTAGGTAACTTTTTTATGTAGATATTTCCCTTCTCCGCCTTAATAATTTGAATTAATTGTTACGCCTCTGGGGAATCGTCCCTATTACCCATATTCTAGCGGCGCCACTGTCATTCTGTTTTACAAGTAATAGAATCATTAGGGCAATTTTGCACAGGATGTGACCAAACAAGCCGTAGGAAGTATAAACCGAGTAAAGTTTCAAAAGACAACCACGTCCTAACATTCTTAACCAGCTTTTGTCAAATCGTTTTGAATAAATTCATCTTATACCTACTATGCGCGACATACAGAGTGCTGCAAAATTAGCGCGCGAAAGAGGGGTCTGGGGCCTGAGGCGCGAGAAGGAATCAAACTTGAAATGAAGTCATTCATGAACTGTAAGTCGTATACTATTGTCGGTGTGTACCTAATGGTGAGGTTAAAACACGTGGTAGTACGGTAACATAATATCCGCCACATGGTGTGTAATACATAGTTCGAGAGTTAAGTGCCTTAAATTTTTTGTTTTCAAAATGAAGACTGTAAGTGAACGAATTAATAATGACGATAACAATAAGGACAATGACAGCCCTTCAGATGGGGTTAAGATGAAAAAAGAATTGGGTTTATTGGACGGTGTAGCTATTATTGTTGGGGTTATAATAGGTTCAGGTATTTTCGTATCGCCGAAAGGTGTTCTGAAATTTTCTGGGTCCATAGGAATTGCTATTTTGGTATGGATATTATCGGGAGTTTTGTCCATGATTGGAGCTTTATGTTATACAGAATTAGGTAAGTAAATTTAAAAATTACTCTTTTAAGTATAAAGTTTAATATTGGTTTCTAAAACAAAAACAATTTTATTTCCAGTTTTTTTATCAATCTAAAAATTCATTTGTTTAAGTAGGTACCTACCAAAACCTTGTAATTTCTAATAATTTTATAATTTAAAACAAGTTCAAATAAAGAAAAAGGTCAAGGTCTGCAGACTATAATAGGTTCTGCAACCGTGTATATATTGGATACAAATTTAAATTGTGTAACAAACAATAATTAAATTTACCTTGTTGGAACTGATAATTTTGATTGCATTTTAAATTAGTTTAAGATACGGCTTAAAATTTATTTAAAAATATTCATGTAGGTAGCCACTTATTTCGCGATCTAAATAAACTTATGTAGGTTGTCCCTAATCTTGCGTCATCATTAAATTTTGAATTTATTACCTACCTATCCGGCGTGTTGAATGCGTTTTCCATTTACCTGTCAAGTGCTGTGTTGCCGAAATATTAATTTTAATATAACTTTTAATTCATTATTTGTTGAGACGCATGTGTCTTATATCAATCACCACCAGGACTCTATAAATAATATAACATGTATGGTCCTGTTTATTTGAAAATAAGAACAACTTTAAAATAAAATGTTGCTATAAATTACTGATTTAAATAACACAAATGCACGCCAATGAATGGACCTGTTCCCAGATTTATTTTTAAGGGTTGGCCGTTGACTATTGTGTGCCGGTGAGAGATTACTCGAATACAATAAGTCGATTTGTAACGAAAAAAATGTATGTAGGTAGGTACCTACTCGAGTATTCTTCAAAAGGGTTAATTGTGAAATCATAGGAGGATAGTATTTTTTTAGGTGATATCTTGGAATAAGGTTTTGTAATAAAAATTTAAAAAACTGTTTATTTTTATCAAAGCTTTCTTCAGTAGTTTTTATTTTAATTAAATTAATATTTTTGTTTAAATGTGTTTTTGATTTTCTCCTTCATTTTCTTTTACATTTTTGTTATTTTCCGTTAAAAAAAAAACATTTTTGGTCAATTTATTTTTAGGTAACCTGAAAAATCTCGTGTGGGGTTTTCCATGTCAATAGAAATTTTTTTTCTTGATTCTAGGGTCGAATTTGGGTTTTGGGGTTGACCGGGACTGTTACACACTACAGTAATTATTTTTTCCTTCATAAAATTTTAACATATTGCATGACGCAATAAAAACCCAACCTTAAATAATTTTCAATCAAATTTTATATGTTATTCGTTCTGGTAAACGAAAATTGTGTGTCACAATGTAGCGAACAATCAGTATAGAGTGTAACTCACAAGGCAAGGGCGGCTCCCATCCCCCCCCCCCCCCCCCCCCCCGAGATGAAAATTCTCACGATTTATTAGCCTTTTACTCAAAAAAATATGCTAAAAAATGGAATATCTAAAGGCAATGCCAACCCCGCTACCACCCGAAAATTCGTCTTGGAGCCGCCCTTGTCACAAGGTACCTTTGATCTGTAAGGTCACGGTTTACCACAAGAAAAAAGGGGTTTGTCAGGCGATGCCATTTTGCTAGGATCATTCGCAGATCTGGGTTCGCAATTTTTGATATAGTGACAGATACTGTTTTAGATAATTTTTATCTGTACAAAAACATTTTATCAAAATAGCGCGCACTATATTTGGAGTTGGGTGGCTCAGGACCGATTCCACCGTTGTGTTAAACAAAGTTTAAAATGACATTTTTACATTAACAATGTCATTTTAATCTCCGTTTAACACAACGGTGGAATCGACCCTCAGTGGTTAGACTAAGCACTTTTGAAATCTTACGATTTCAGGATCGAATACTGCCTGCGACACGATTTTTATTTAATTTAATGAATTAAATATTAATCCTAATACATTGGTAGGATTCCCCACTCGACCATTCACTGTTGGGTCCTAAGCATGTCCTAAGCGCAGTTTTAAAACTACAATATCTTTAGTCTCCCACCTGAAACTACAAAGATGTGTGATAAAGTATGCATGATATATAATTAATATTTATAATTTATCATTAACTCAACGTCTGTGAAGCAGGCGTGCAATCTGTGGAGACCACCACTAGAATAAAAATCAAGTGACAGAACTCAACAAACAACTGTGGTTACAACACTAGCAGAAGACTAAATAATTCACAGTACATCACTTGTAAATTGATCCTTAGAAAATGGCGGCGCAATCGACGCAGATATGATGCGCGAACTTTGCAAAAAATTTGAGTCGCAATACTGTTCTCTATACTGTGGTAGTTGGTCAATCTTTAAAACCCAAATTAAACTCTCAGAATCAAAAATAAAATAATCAAAAAAATCACTTAAAGAAACCACTTAAGAAGGCCATCCAATTTGGAGCCGAAAGCTTTGATAATATAAACAATTTTTTGAATTTTAATTACAGAACCTTATTCCCAAGACGATCACCTAAAAGAGAATCTAGAAAGAAAAGGTTTAAGAAAAGAAATTTTGTAATACATAATTCACCTTCAAGAAAATTATTATTATTCCCCAATTTGGCAAAAATAAGGAACACTTATGAAATTACTTGACGTACCTACCCGATTAAAATTTGAACTAGTTTTAGTAAAAACATTGACAACCCTGTTTTTCCTAGCTTTTTAGGAGATATTAACCAAAACTAAAACAAGACAAACCTTAAATTTTTACAAAACAATGGCAACCCCTTGATAATGCCGCACAGACAAGGAGTGAAGGCTGCTATATTTAGCATAATAATTTATATTTAAACGGACTGCAGGCGAAGATATTCGCCATGGCCCAACGGAAAACCGCAAGGCCCGCATGTGTGATATAAATTATGTCTATGATGCAATAATTTATTGAGAAAAAATGAATAAATGTTTTTAAATAAAAATATTTGTAGTAAGTACTGGCCCAAATACAGACGTTAACTGAAAAATCCAGACGCCGTCGTGTGGGGTAACAAATGAAAGCTATTTGAAGCCGAGTTTGAAGCACGATTTCAAAAATTTATCATAGATACTTTCGATTACGTTACTTTTTCTTTTAATACTTTTTCGAAAAACGCTTTAAAATTGCTATCCCTCAAACTTATATTTAAAAGTAACGCTCAGAAAAATCTGAAAAATAGAAGGTGTAGATTGAATGAAAATCATCAGTTTGCATTCCGTTAAATATTTTTTTATTCAAAAAAATGCCCTACTGTTCTGATACTTTATATTTGCGGATGGTCTAAAAGTCTAAATGGATCAACATACCATTATTTGGCAGTACCTGTTTGATTTTTTATTATTGTGTGTTATATGTAGGCTTTGTTAGTGTTACTCCATCACCAATTTAGCAATGTTAATTAGAACCCAACAATGAATGGCAATCGTAAGATTTGAAGCCAGAACCCTTCGACCCGAAAGTCCATACCTATTCTAACCGCTAGTACATCCATCCCAGGAATATACCTAGTAAATACATGTATTGTGCAATAAACATTTAATTTTATGTGATAATTAATTACGATGTTACCAGCACTAAGTGAGTGTCCTAATGAATGAGTGTATTAATAACCATTAAATGTGAGTTGCGTACACTATTTTTTCTACTATGCGTCAAAATTAAAACCAATAACATTTCAAAATTTATTAAACTTATAAATAAATTATGAGTTATACGATTAAGGAAAAATTATGAAAACTTAACAATTATACCAAACAAAATAGAAATGTAACAAAATCATAATTTATCAACAAAAAAAAAGACGGACTAGGATGGCAGGGGATCCGAAGGATGTTATTTTTCGCAAGTTTGTTTCCGGAAATTATTGTCTATTTTTATTATGTAGTATTCTACGTTCGTCCTATCCTCGTATATCTAGGGCCCGAATGGATATAAAGCTACATGCTTTGTACGCGACCAAAAAATTACAAAATTTGTACAACGTCGCACTACCAACCTACCTACATATAAGAGAAAAAATTAGCAGTGTGAAATCTTACAAAAATTTTCGACAGAGACGTCTTCGTGGTTACCTAATTATAGGTAACTTTCCTGTTTATAAATTCGGAAATATAAGTAAAGCTTTTCCTCTAAACACTTACTCCAGGCTTCATAGACATTCATTGAAAGTACAGAAAGAACATTTCAACAAAGGCATCATTTTGTAAGTAACAATTTCCGAAGTCTGGAACTGCCTGCCACAAGAAATTACAGCATTTCAGTGTCGACATTTACAGAAAAAATATTAACACGTTAATCGCCCAAACATAAAAATATATTTTTGCCCCCCCCGGGCCACAATATATTGTTTTCAATTGGTCATAGTATATGTTAGGAAATAATATATATTATTATAAAAAAAGATTTTGGTCACTCAAAAATAAAAAAAATTTAAAATGAGATCCGACATTTGGTCCTCAGTGCCCCAACATAGTTTTAGCCGTGTGATTCGTATGTGGATTCTCGCATTTACACATGTTTCAACTCGCTTTTTATGATTGATGCAGTCCGCAGTCGCGCGTTCATCCCATATAGGTAAAGTCTATTCCGACATTGTTAGAGGTAGGGCTATAAAATATGAGTGGTGAATATGAAAGCTCAGCAAAATTTGCAAAAATTGTGGAATGAAATAATGTCCGATTCTGAGGAGTTTTAGCTACTATTAGGAACATCCTTGGTAAATGCATATATTCTCTACAAAAAGGTAACCAAGGGTATATCCATCGCTGGATTCAAGGAGCAAATAATTGAGAGTATATTGAACGCCGATACTGTAGAACCAGCTGAAACCGAACAGCACGTTTTAGAGGAAGTTCCATCTAAAGATCGCCGTAGATACGTTGTTTGCTATGAGAAAATAAACAACGATGAAGGGCGGAAAAAGGCACAGTTTTAGACACCAAAGTCAAGATTTCATAAATGTCAAAAATAGTTTATAATACTAACATATTTTATCTTTTTCTGTACCTACCTATTTAATGTAGTAAAAAAGTCATTTTTTT